CGGCTCGGGTTCGGTAGAAAGGTGATAAAATGTGACAACAGACTCTCCTCGACCACAAAGAATGAGAAGACCTGTGTCGTGATCATAAAAGGGAATCAGCATGCTAGGTGACGTGTCAAGTGGAGTGGAACAAACAGGCAGTGTCAGATTCTGACTATCGTATTGAATAATTTCTCGCTGGTTTGCTCTAAATTCCATCAACAACAATCAACCATGACAATCGGTCAAGTATGGATTGTTATCTTTAGTCAGTCTCAAATATACGTTTACAAGTACCGTTGGAATGCATATATTTGTTTTATCAAGCGTTATTACCTGGCATATCCCACGGAAACCAGTCGTCCAGTATCGCCAATCCATAAAATACGTGCAGCTTTGGTTCCTTGGTGCGATGGTCCACTTTGAAGCTCTAGTCCAGTGTGACTGTCATAAACACGAATGGTTTTATCACGCAAAATCGCTGCAATACAGTTTCCATCATAACTGAATGCCACACTAAGTGCTTGATCAGGAAGTGTCATGGTAGAAATAAGTTTCTTGGTGCAAATATTCCAAATCTTAATCAGTGGTGAGCCTTGTTCAGGTGAATAGGACATGATAATATCTAACGCCATTGGATGAAATTGTAAAAGAACAACTCGACCATTATGCGCAGGGAAAAAGTTGTTTTCTTGATAAAGATCATCAGTTAGTCCGTTAGCAGGCAAATCAAAAATACGGATACGTCCATCCTCACAGCCCGTAATCAATCGATGCACATTGAATGGATCCAGTCTAAAATCTAGCATTTCTGATCCATTTACAATGCATGGAATTTTAACTGGAAAACGACCTTTGGATTCAACGGGCCACACACCAACACGACCGCCAGGGCCAGAAATTGAAAATGCAATAAATTTTGAATTGATCTGGAATGATTTATAAACATATGCCATATTATGAGCAACACTAGGCAAGACTGGGCTTGAAGTTTAAAAGTACACGAGTAGTAGCATACCTGAAATGCATCTGTCTCATTAGGAAAATTGACACTCAGTCCTTTTAGGTCATCATAATCGGTATTGGATTTGCCAGTGATAAATCTGTAAGCAGAGTGTTTGGGTAGATTAACCTTGGCAGAATTTTTAATTGCTGTTGGTATAGTAGTAGAAGCTGAATCAGGTGTATTGATTTGCATCTGTATATCCGATATGGAGTTTTTAGTGGAGTCCAATAAAGGTTGTATTTGGTTTGGGAGTGTGGATAAAGAAGCAGTTGATTCAGTCGTAGTCACTGGAGCAAAACTTTGCCTTTTTGCTGGATCAAGTGAAACAATACGAGGAGTGGTATTGATGCCGGTCAGCCATTCAGTAACTGCCACTTGAGGAATATCCTCGCGAGTATCGGGAAAGATATCGGCGTGAAAGTCGGCATGGGTTTTACGCGGTACAACAGCAGATACAGGGATGATGTTGGAGCCATCAGATGCTACATTTAAAACTCGAGCAACTTCACATCCCATTATATCCAAACCGAGCTTGGGTACAAGACATGCACCAGAAAATGTGACACTTCCAACATAGGGATACACTCCAACATCGACGGGTGATTTTTCGTTTTCTGGCTTGAGTTCTAGCCACCAAACACTAGTGTCGCCCTATGTATAGAATAGGCAGTCATTTTCAGCTAAAGATAACATATAAATCTACTGTGATGGGTTAAATATCGATACCTTTCCAGAAAGAAACATCATTTTGGTGTCTGAATCATAAAGCGGAGTCAGAATGCCAGGAGATGTATCCAATTTGTTGGTAACAAGCGACTGAGTAAAATTCCTGAAATCCCAGATGGAATATTCTATTGTATTTCGTGTTAGATTTCAATTCAACCACCCAAAACAATTGATTGATACACAAAGTACAAAGACAACTATCCAAATCACACCTCGATCTCGTTTTGAATTGAAACCAGTTGAAAAGATCATATTCGATGCACCTGCCCAGACCACTCTGCTAGGTTTGATTCCATTATGAGAATTGACAGACTAGTAAAACAATCCAAGACTCATCGATTAGATTCAAATGCAATTTCCAAACTGAGATCAAATGCAGTTACTTTGATTGGAGTGGATCCGACACGAGGATCAAACACGCGCAGCATATTATCTTTTGAAATAGAAACCAGAAGCTGTCCATCTTCCTTCCTATGCAGAATTGAACGATCAAGAAGCATCCAAATAGAATCAGCATCATCTAACTGTACAAGTGCACAAGAGTATTTGATTTAATACCAACCAGCTGATTGTCTGGACTACTTCCGAACAGTCCAGAGTAATTGCCATAGTTTCATGGCTAACATCCCAAAGTTTGACTTGGGCTGCTGATGCTACCGACAGTAGATTGCAAGCAATCGGATGAAACATGACAGTTTCTATGTGTTTTAGTTCAGCTGGCAATGTTAGCGCAGGGAGATCTGGTAGCGCTAGTCCAGATGTATTGTTTAATTCTGATGCACTGCATGGAATATGCCATAGCTTGACTGCACCAGTCTCATCCCCTGTGCTGAGAACAAATCCATCACTCAAATTCCAAGGCGCCCAATCCAAGTCAGTAATTCGAGCCCCGTTTTGAAAACTAAGAACAGTATCGGAACGGCCTGCATTTGCCAGCAGATGAACACCTACAGCACCTCCCAAGTTACCTGAACGAAACGCAACAAGACTCTTTGTGGCCTTGATAGGACATGGCTCACTACCGGATACATGAATGGCAGTATTACTAGCAAATGAGTACCAGTTCTATATATGTTAGATGCACAAGGTTAGTAGGATGAACTAAATCTAATGACTAGAGCATTTTCATGCTGCATTATATTACATGTAATAATGAACAATACCTTTTTTCCAGTGGTTACTGTGCAGTTGCGATATTTTGATTTGTTGAACATTGGATGTGAATAAGAAGATGCAAACCTTGGATCCAATAGATGAGCTCTTGAATCTAATGAACTGGTTATTACAAACTATTTCAGCCAAACGAATATTTATAGTCGAGTTTCCGTGTCAAAGTTTGGATATTCGAGCAACAAGTTTGAGATGAATTGTCAAGTTATGCTCGAGTTTTAATCAACGACATTCTCAATAGTCGAGTATGTACAACTTGTATATCAATTATACTAAACATCCGATATCGTTCAGTTTGAACTCGAGGTTTTGTTTGGACGCGTTGAACGGTTTATCTTGAACTTTTGGTCTACAAGTTGATGCATTCTGCTAGATACAATTCCAACCATTAAGCTGTATACTCTGAACAGTAATATTTATTTTAATACACTTTTTGATTTATCAATATGAACGGAGTAAATTCTGCAGAAAGCAAGCAGGACGTTTCTTCTAAAAAGGCTGGGCTTGCATCTCGTGCTGCTAGCAAGGCCACGCTGGCCCAGTCAAGAACAAGCCTAAAGAATGCAACACAAAAAAGAAACTCATCCAAAGCAAATGTAGCTAGCACTACTCAGCTAAAGCATGATTCTCGTACTGGGTCAAAAGCTCTCTTCACCGTACAAGTCGAGCCATCAGATGCTACACCCCAACAGCAACCACAAGAGTCATCAGCAAAACAGTCCAGAGCCGTATCACATGTGAATATAATGGGGTCTTCTGGAGGACTACTTGATATGCCCTCATCTATTAATGGAAAAAGTCGCAAGCAGAGCAGCATAAATATTGCCGTGTCATCTAGTTTGGCTCAAACACTTGCGTCGAATAATTCAGCTTCTGTCGTGTCGGCCAACTCGGTATATAATTCAGATACATTGATTGAAGGAACGATGCCGCTGTTTCTCACTGGAACCACTCAGGATATTTTCAAGATCAAAATTGGAGAGAATGTGAATATAAACACCATGTTTAAAGTTATTCCCAAATCGGATCTCATAAGCGATATTCAGACACGGCTGGCAATTTCTGATTTCTACCCTGCCAAACAAATAATCAACGTAAGACATTTGTATAGTGTAATACAGTTTTCCAGTGTTGGTGAACAGTCTATATGATTTTGCTTACAATATCCATGATTTGTTTACCAATTGTCTGATTGCAATACAAATATAACTATTTTCTAGCAATTTCCACACGAAGAACTACTTGTTCATTATGATCCAGAATTCAAGTACGGCCAAAACTTTTTTATATGTACAACCATTGAAGCCATGAATGCAATTTTGAATGTAAGAATTGGATTTTGTGACACTTGTGATACTTTGTGGCATTTTCATCAAATCTATATACTCGTTGATTTTTACCGTTTTTATTGATATAATATGTTTAGCCAATCGTAAATGTCGACATGCCAGACAATTTTGAAGCTCAAAACATTATAGAGACTGTGCGCGAATGGAAGTCGCTGGGAAGTGACAAAGAAATCGAAATGGAACGAGTTTTCAACACTAGGGAATTGGTAAAAAAATTATTTGATGTACATTGTAAATCCGGATGTTTACCGAATATAAGCTGATTATGATTTGCTTCATTTAACTAGGTTTTAGTCAAAGTTTCACGCAAACAGAGTGAATACAAGAACTTGTGCAAATTTGGGGATCGGGATGCTCACGATGGGTTTCTAGAGTGTCGTCCATATAGAGACGCCAACTATGACCTTACCCGCGCAGAGATGCAAGTTGCGGTTCAGGTATGTCTAGTTTGCATACATTTTTAGATACGATTTGCTATTGCAATGGTTGAAATCAACCTCACAGCTTACATTTAACAGGCCGTTCCAGACCTAGTTAGTAAGCACATTCAAACTACATGGTTTCGCTCAGTTAATTTTGCGTGTCAATACGAGCCTGTTGTTATGGAAAATGATCATCGTGAAAGGATCCTTCAATCAGTTGAAATGGACAACTTTCTCCGTAATGTTGCAGTGAGGTAAGCCATTTTTTATCAATGTGTTGTATCATATGCCTATTGAATACACAGTAGAGTGTTTATTTTACATTTGTTTAACATTTCATCATTTGCTGTGAGTAGATTTGAGCATGCACTTCAACAAAACAGCATTGTCAATATTTTTGAAAATAATTATAGCTGTCTTGGAGAAGAGGATATGACTCTAGATCAAGGCATTCACACCGTTTTACAAGTAAATATTTACTACTTTTGAGGTTTACTATTTGTATACAAAGTCTAATCATTTTAAGTATATATTAACACCACGCTTAGGAATACCAATCATTTACGGATCTTGTAAACAGCAAAGATCGCTGCATTTCTTGTATCGACTGGCATCCTCAGCAAAAAGGTAAGACTACAAGTTTTTAAATCAAAATTATATTAATTGTGGCTGATGGTATTATTTATTTGAAAACAGGTGTGCTAGCCATCTCATGCACGCAACGTATGTCGTATGAAGAAAAGATTGAACGTGGCTCAAGTGTTAAATCAAAGCAGTCACTTATTATTATTTGGAGCTTTCACGATCCAATTCACCCACAGGTAAATACTATACTTGTTATATATAATATTATTTGTTCGAGGCATTTGTCATTGTATTGAGATGTTTGTACATACTATGGTTTACTATAGCTTATTCTTGAAGCACCCGAAGATGTACACGCCTTTCGCTTTAATCCGGTCGATCCCAATATAGTTGTAGCCGGATGCACAAGCGGACAGATAGTTCTTTGGGATGTGAGCGAGTACCAAGATAAGTTGAAATCAACCAGGAAAGCAGAAAACGACAGCATTGGCATCAGCGACGAAGGAAAGGATAAGCATGTTGAAACACCGGTTGTAAAATACAGTGTCGTGTCTTCAATCGAAGCAAGTCATCGTGCCTGTGTCACTGATATACATTGGTTATCTACTCATTTTGAAGTGTGTAATACGTTGAATATTTATAGATTAGTGTTTACTATTTATTTTTGATACATCACTGTTGACGTAGCTTTCAATTTTATATCCACAAATAGCTGTCTTCAAATGGCGAGATGGTTGAGCACGGCGAATATGGTCACAAGCAGATTGTCACATCTTCTCTTGACGGAACCATTGCATTCTGGGATTTGAGATACAAAAAAGATTGGAAATCATTAGATTTGGCATGGCGACCATTTTTAAGAGTAGGATATTCATTTGTTGACGTATCGTGCTTTGGTTTTATTACACAATGCTAAGCTGATTTAAAAATTAACTGAAATCAGGTTTCGCTCAGTTCCCTTGATAGCACATTTGACTATAGTCTTACAAGAGTTAGCATTTGCACAACAGTTGTTGATAAGCCAAAATCAGGTAAGCCCAGAATTGCAATAGTAGAAATTCAATTATAGTCACATTCATGTAAAATGGAACATTATCTTGCAGTTATTGCCTTGATTTTTCTTTAGAATATGATGACACAATCAAACTATCACTTTTTTGTATAACCATACATTGTACAATCACCGCATTTGAAACTATACTCATGTGCTACAATCCGGATATTGGATTTGACTGTTTTTAATTAAATTCTGTGCAACCTCCTTTGCCATATCCTGAATCACACACGATTATGTTCTAGTTCAAGAAACCAATGTTTGGGTTTTTAGGGGAAAACTGACAATCATTCATGAAATCAACTGTTTACTATGTATCCTGACACCCTCATGTTTCATTTTACGCGAATACCGTGGTGAATAGTAGATTTAACGTTTTCCTTAATTTGCATTGTAATCAGGTGATGTTTCTTCTCATGACACTCCGCCTAGTGCTGGAAAAGAAAAAGAAAAGGCAGCATCACAAAAACTATGGACATCAAAGTTCTATTGTGTGACCGAGGAAGGTGATGTGATTTATTCGGATTGGATTGCAGAGAAAGCTACGGAAGAAAAGGGTAAGCTCAAAAACAGTTGTGCAGCGATTAGCTTGTTTTACGGTATACTGATTTCGTTGAGTTGTAAAAACAGTTTCTCGTGTCGAGTTTGCTTTTAGCTCTCATTTTGGACCAGCAAGTGATTTGCAAAGATCACCGTTTTGCCCGGATATTTTATTAAGTGTTGGTGGTTGGTCGTTCAGTCTTTGGAAGGAAAAGCTGACGGTATGTGATTTGTTTTATTATCGACCCATATGACACCATTGTTGGTCTCGTCAATATTATTGCCATTTGAGCTCATTAATTGATCTTTATTCAACTTATAAATAGCTTGGGCCGATTCTAGCCAGTGCACCAGCATCAACATATCTGATCTCAGGCTGTTGGAGTCCAACGCGACCTGGTGTATTCTATATTGGTCGTGCAGATGGTGTTTTGGAGGTTTGGGATTTGCTAGATACATCGCATGCACCATCCATGATACAGACTGTTACATCCACTGCGATATCATATATGCAAATTTACCAATATGGAGGTATGTCCTTTAATTCATCGAATTTAGCATGATGTATTTGCTGACTGATGTTTTAATGTCCACAAGGTCGATCTGGAAATGGCCAGCAATATCTTGCAGTTGGGGATGATGCTGGCACATTGCACATTCTTGAAATTTCCAAGAATTTGCAGCGTCCATCAAAGAATGAAGTAAGTAACCAAGTTTATAAACTACCACATTGGTCAAAAGCCTGTCAACTTACTCGATCTTTTCGGTGAATAGAAATCCGTGACTGTGGCATTTTTTGAAAAAGAAGCTCGACGAGTATTGTACACTCATGGAAGGAAGCAGATACGAATTAAGGAGCGTGCAAGCTTTGAAAGCAATGCATTGGTAAGATTTAACTTTATGCTGCTGATCTTCAGGTTGTCAGTGTTCAGTTTTGGAACGTCGCTAATTGTTTTATTTAATTACTAACCGAATTGCATGTAGCTTACTAAAAACATTGCTGCAGCAGTCCAACCAAAGCAGGAGTCGTGGAATGCTCCTGCTGCAGAGCCCGGTACAGCTGTGTTGGATGATGAGGATGAAAAGGCAGAAAAAGAGTATTTGAAGCTGGAGCATGATTTTCTTGAAGCTGAAGGTTTGTTGCCATCATCCTTTGAAGAAGTATCGTAGTAGTGATATAAAATAAATCGAGTTACTACAAAAACCATGAATGCGAGTTCAGATTAGACATTGTAGTTTGCAGATGGAAAGCCAAACGATTCCGATAGATGAAAACATGAATCCAATATTTAGAGCAAATCTGGTCCAATATTGGACTCTTATGCGGATGGTATCAAACTGTAATGGTTTATTCTTGCATCTTTGATCCAATTCTTTACTAAAATTCGGCCTGATGCTTAAAGCAACACCCAAGGCAGGATGGAATTCCAGTACAAAGTTGCCTTGCAGTAAACCTGCAAAGTCTGCAACCAGTTCATTGTCTGCACGTCCTCCTTCAGTATCGCCTGTATCTAGTTCACCTCACTCTACCCACCAGCCCATTATTTCACCTGCTGGCTCTACAGCAAAGCATGCTCAAGGCACAATTCATCCAGGGTTAGTCAATACTACTCAACGCGCATCAACTGCAAACACACGGCGACCAACCAGCACTATCAAGCCACGAACCTCTACCACTATCAGAGCTTTTGGAGAAGTGTCTAGTGTGAAATCCACTCATCCATCTACTGGGTCTGGGGTATCTGCTGGCTATCATTCTCCTTATGGACACGTTAAACCCAAGTCCAAATCTAGCCATCAAGATATGGTAGTCAAGGAGTATCAAAAGATATTGGAAACCAAAAACACCAGCGATCGTGAAATGCGAGAGTCGCTTAAACTGCTTCGGAATTTGATTCTTATCGAGGGAATTCCAAACACTCCAAGGGTATGTTTGGGTTAGATATTGCTTAGTGTGGTATCAAAATGGACAGTGTAATTCTGATCTACATTTCTGCTGAAACACTGTTAGGGGAATAATGTACATGGATGTGATTTAAGAGGACGGGTGTGGAAAGCGCTTATGGGAATATATCGCATTTCAGCTTTGGAATATACAACGCTCGTCCAACGCGGCTCATGCAGTGTTGCAGAAAAGATCCAAAACGATACATTTAGAACTTTAATGACTGACAAGAGTTTTCAAAGCAGGGTTTCAAACGATATGCTTACTCGTATTCTTAGTGCATTTGTATGGAAGGCTCAAGGTGAAATTTGCTTTGTTCAATAGTAGTCGCCTTAGAGTCAGCGCAGTCACCTTGTTTGAAATTTACCATTTTTAACAACCCTATATTCATGAATCAGATCAACCACCATCTAGATTAATTAATATGCGATTTTCATATGTTCAAGGCATGAATGTATTGGCTGCACCTTTTTTATATGTGCTCCCAGAGCTGGACGCATTTTATGCATTCAATACATTTATACATAACTCGTGTCCATTATATGTCCAGCCTGCACTTGAAGGTGTTCATTGTGGAATCAAGGTAATTCACAATTTTATTTTATAATAGGTTTGGTGTATCTATATTGACTGCTTGAGTGTAAAAGTACCGTTGATTTATTAGTATTAATTTGATTTCAAATGGTGACATACATACTAGTTACTTGATCGCTGTTTAGAAGAGATTGATTCAGAGTTGTATGACTATCTCAAAAGCAAGCAGCTTACCGCAGCTGTTTATGCATTTCCATGTAGGCTTTCAAATATGTGTGATGTGTACTTGAGATATAAATTACAGACCTGGCTGTGTCTTACCTGTAATTCAATATAGCCATCATGACGTTTTCAGCCTGCACACCGCCGCTTGATCAAGTACTGCATCTGTGGGATTTTTTCCTGGCATATGGAGTTCATCTTAACATTATATGTACTGTATCTCAGGTGATCCATATTAAACGAGATCTGATGGCAAGTCTCAGGTAAAAGCAATATTAGAGTTGGATCATTCATGTAAATGAGAAATATATTGATTTAAGATTTCCAGCTAATTTAAACTATTCCATTGATTAGTCCCATGAAACTTTTGCGATCTTTCCCAGAACTTAATGCACAGAGTATTATTGCTACAGCCAAAACCCTAATTCCACTGATCCCAGAAGATCTTTATGATATGCTTGTGCGTCACACGTTCGACCCGATCGTGTGCGAGATGCTGTTGCAAGAAAACGAGGATATAGCTATTGCCTGATTGAGTTTTTAATTTACTATTCTTTCAAATAAACAAATAGTCGGTTTATTCAAATATGCATTAGGTGATTTTTGAAGCCAGTCCCGCAGATATTTTTTTAGCAGAATCTATTGAGATTTGATCATGGCTGTTGGTTTCTGTCCAGAACCTTGACTGTCTATAAGGCTGCTGTTCCGCCACAACGCGATCTGGGTTTACAAGAGACTTGTGTTTGTATGCTAGCCCATAAAGCAAAGGTCTACAAATAATTGATGTGAGGCTCAACCAGCTGACAAATTCCAGCAGCTATATTTTTGAAATTGGCTCAAATCATCAAGATTAAGCCTACATGTTTTCTGGATATAGTCTTGGATGAATGCTCAATTCTTGAGAAATGTGCTCTCTAGTTGGGATGTCTTTAGATAGTCTGGATTCTATTGAAATCAAATATACGGTCAAAAGGATTAAACAATCCAACTGACATGCTTTTTCGCAAACATATTCAAGTTTACCAGTAGTAAACACCGATAGAGAATGTCCATAACCATTATACTGCAGATATTCTCGAACAAGCTCGTTCATCACGGCCGTTTCTTTTGGCACTGCAATCGGAGAGAATTCTTCCTAGTAGTTGACAAACATAAGCCAGATTAAGAGTTTCAGTAGAGTGACAGACCAGCGATATATGCAGTGCTGATTTAGCCATGGTACTGTTAATAGTATACCTCATCTAATGCCTTGAACAGCTCTGCTCGCATGGCCGCTTCTAATTTAGCAGTAACACCTCGAGCTCGCAGATTCTGCTTGAGAGCTATAAACATAATATAGATGAGCCGACAGTAAATAACACTTTTTATTGAATATAGACTCATACTATGAGTACAAACCATCTTTTAGGTCATCATATGCCGACATGGTTGATTTTTAGGTTTGAATCAAGTTTAAAAACTGAATGTTTAAAAATAGCTTGAAATACGAGCCAGTCACACAATGTTTACTTGAAATGTTTGGAGGAAAGGAAAGTTGGAGGTCAAGGATGTGAACATTCACTCTGTATTTTTGTACATGAATGAGCACGGAGATCAATGAATTAAAGTTTATAAAACAATGTCCAGTAAAACTGTTTATCATATATTTCGACTTATTTAGTATTTCATTTTACGTGAATACGGCTGTAAACAATGTACATAAACTATACTTTTGAACTGAAATGATTCTCATTTGGCATAGCCATATATTGTATGATCGACAAGTTTGGTAATAGAAACCATAGTAAAAAGCATTTCATTTCAAGGTTTTGGAGTGAATCATTTGCAAAACAATATGCTAGTTTAGCAACACAACTGGGCGACGTGGTAGCGCCAAGAAACTCGACAAGACTATATCATTGTGAGTCCGTCAAGAAACCCTTGGGCTACTTCAGCAATGATCGAACGATCGTCCACAGTGGCAGCGGTACCATAAATAGCAGCCAAGTCTCCATTTCCAGCTGTCGGGTCTTTTTGAAGAATCTCAACAGCCTCAGCAACGTCAGCAATCAAGTGATCTACAATAGGAACGGTGAGTATGGTACATGCAATATGGACAGACGCAGGAAATTGAAGCACATTCAAGTGCCATCCTTTGCGAGAAACCAAATCTGCAACCGCATATGTTTTTATTGGATGTATAGCCTCAAATGCTACAACTGTAAGCAGTGGGTCGCCCATGATCCGAATTCCTGGAATAGCAGCGAGTCTAAATTAAAAGTCGGGATGAGTATAATATCAATAATATCCAAGCAAGATTTAAAAATGTAATATACCCTGCACGAATTCTGCGAGCTGCACCAATAATATCTTTTGTAGTCTGCACATAACCGTCTATACCAAATTTAAGCATAGCTGTCCAGCACCCAGCAATCAACGCGCCTGGACGAGAACCAGCAACAGACGGGGATCCATAAACACCTCCTTTGACATTCAATAATATATTCAATGGGTTAGAAAGTAAAACTCCAAGTTCCACTCAATGTGTCTGTATCACAAGGAAAATAGAATCAATTTGGAAAACACACCTGGCCACATTGTTTGAACAAAATACTGGTATTTGCGAATGTCCTTGGATTTATAAAGAATCACGGATGATCCTTTTGGAGCAAAGCCATATTTATGGGGATCTACTGAAATGGAGGTAACTCCATCAACACGAAAGTCGGTTTTGTAAGGAAGTGGAAACCCAGCCATTTCAGCAAATGGAACAATGAAACCACCAAGGCATGAGTCGACGTGCATGCCAATCTTGTGCTTTTTGGCAAGCGCGGCAAGTGCAGGAATATCGTCGGCAATTCCGTGCGAAAATCCAGGAGTAGATCCTGCAATCAAAATGGTGTTTCTGTTGATTGCACGAGCAACTTTGCCAACATCCACCTTGCCTGATTTGGGGTCGACAGCAATGTGTATAATAGTAACCCCAAAATAATTTGCACCTTTATCAAAAGCAGCATGCACTGTAATAGGAACCACCCTATCGAGGACAAATATGAGTTGTCAAAAAGTTGAAAGTACCACTTTAGTTGGTGCATATGCCAAATGAAAATGGATTGCGAATTAAAACACTTACATCTCAGGTTCAGTGATACCGCGCAACTCCTTGGCCATATCACGGTAAGCCTTGATTGCCATTAAAATGCTCTCTGTTCCACCAGAAGTAACAGAACCGCAAACGCCTGCCGAGCCATTATACATGGCAGCAACCATGGAAACAATCTCGGCCTCCATTTGACGAACACCAGGAAAGACTTCTGGGTGGAGTGGCTTAGAATCAGTATAAAGTACATATTGGCAGTTGTACAAAATAATTAGCATAAAAAATCAAATGATATTGGCATTTTAAACTAATACATACATTTGAAATGCTAAACATGCCATAAGCTTCAGTCAAGATTGAGCAAAGATCTTCTCCGCCATGATATATAGTCCCCGAAACACGACCACCTTCCCAATCTACATCTCCCATATTTTTATATCTAGAAAGCTCTACACGCAGCTCTCGCTCGCTCAATCCTTTGTCTGGTAGTCTCAGATATATTTTGTCGCCAGGAGCGTGGTGCACCATTTTTTTGTGAATAGACTTTACAGTCTTGTCGATCTGCTGTTGCACCAATGCATTTGCAGACGAGCTACTTGAGCGAACAATACTAATGATTGACTGTGTCACCAAAGTAAAAACATTTGATTGATTACAAGATGTACATGTTAATAATACTGGGTATAGAAACCTCTATTAAACAATGAAAATGACTGGACTCGAGTATAAAAATATTGACTGGCACATCAGCTCAATACAAACTTGATCATGCAGTTATACAAAAGAATGTTTCCTGAGCAGTATCTATATCATGCTATCACGTCCATAGAGCTCAAGCAAATGTGTAACAGATGAATAAAATACACATGATATACATATGTTTAAAGTTATTTGAAACTATACTGACCTGGATAACTAGACGACGATAATGCATTCCAGTAGCAACCAATCCCTTTGCACGCAGCTGACGCATAACAGCTTTCAGCAAGCGATACACAGTGACCAAAAGTAAAATATTCTTGACAACTTCCATTGCTGGCTTGCGCAGAAACTGAGTCACAAGCTGCTGGATATGCCAGACCTGAGAGTTTGACATTTTTGTATTTATAAAAATGATAGATCAGCAGTTTGGTATTGTCAAGGGTCAAGATAAACTCGATTTATTTGGACTGGATTTGAATCTGGCAACACCCACGTGTTTATAGTCATGCTGACTTACTTGGCAAGCAATGATTCTGCTATAATGCATTATGACTTGAATCCAGCAAGTGTGCTGCCATATATTTTAATTAAATCCACTGCAACACTCATTTTCTGGAGAATCAACTATAATCAAAGATATCTGCACGATGACTGTGCAGCTAGCGGATGTTTGCTGTTCTTGGTATTGATCTTGATCTGACGCGAGTTCAGCATTTCATTTATAGTCTGTCAATCTAAACCAATTGTGTAATGTTACAGACGGAAGGCTCGTTTCCAAAATACTGCAACAGTCTGCTTGATGTTATTAAAATGTTTCCAAAACATGATGAAATGGCTGTTGAAATATAAATAAATATCATCACCATTGTCGCTAAATCCATCCCTATCAGAATTCCAGTGTACAAATTACTCAATATTTTATGCTTAAATAAATCTTATTCCACAATGTGGCCTGATGTCTGATACTGTGAAGGCCATCTGCCATTTGCGATCAGAAACTCTTTTTTTAATCGCAGCTCATCCTCACGGAACTTGTCTTTCCATTGCTCTGTCGAGTATTGCTTTAGACAGTCCTGTACTTTCTTGTTGGGCTCAGAGCAAGCAAATCCAATCGTCACTGTATGCTGCCGTGTACAATCCACTAGCTCTATTTGTTTCAAAATGATCCAGAAAAACTCGGGTTAGATTCAATAGAACAAAGTCGGATAAAAAGTAAAAGCCTTCAACAGTGTGCATTAGTTATTACCATCTAGAAGGCTTCGACACATGTCCCTAGAGTGTTTTTTCCATTTCTGAAGAGCAGCTTCCTATCAGCAATCACAATCAGGTGCAATCATTAGCAAATACATCTAAATCGATCAAAACATGAATTCATATCCTATACAGTAGTCGCTGTTGTGTGTTTTTGAAACACAAGGAGGAAGGTATACCCTATTTTCAACTACAATGAGGTTTATTCTGATAGGGTGTCCATTTTGCATCAAGCCATATCTACATATCATCAAGATGGCTTTTAAATAGATTTGAAATGCTGCGTCGTCATTAATGTTTGACTGGTATGAACTTGTGATCCAAAGTGGAAAGAGTTGATTATAGTATATTCCTCAGCATAGTCTATTGTAAATACTTGGCTCGGTTACTTTCAAATACTAACCTCCTCTCCAGTGTTTAAAACAGCAATAACAGTCATTTGGGTATTTTTGCGGAAACTTTGAAAACAATTGCAGCCGTATTCAGGCGAAATGGAATGCCGAGAATTAGAAAATATTCACACCACAGTTTCAGTAAATCCCATTTGTTTAATCTCCAGCTCTTCAAACTAGACATTGGTGATTAGCATGGAAACAACTGCTGCATTCTTGAACTAAAACGCGAATGTATGTGATATTAGGATACAACAAAGTGGAGTTTGTAGAGTTTGACAGTCAATCCAATATCTGGATTGCAATGAACGAATCTGGTGATCGTACAATGTATGGCTATCCCAAAAGTGAGGAAAATCAAAACTATAGTTTGACTGTGCACATCATATGATGAAAAGTGTGTTTGGAGGAATTAACAGTGTCTAGTAAAGTTAATTCCTAATAGGAAAGTGCAACGAATATTTAACCATTTTTATTCCAAAGCAAAATAAAGTCACTGCAAGATAAATACAGAAATGTGTTCCATTTTACGTGAAAACAATTAACACGTCCATAGGATCTAAATGGATTGGGTATCAAAGCGACTAGGCATTAACAGTGCTGGTGGCAAGCTTGTTCCTCATGCCTTTGGAGCCGATAATTCTAAATCTCTACTTGATGGTGGAACTATGAGCAATTTTCCAGGAAACTCAAAGACTCCGACTGTCATGTAAGAGCAATTCTGCCATGTTTATTCTAAATTTTCAAGTTTGAAAATGAGCATTTATCGTTAAAATAGTAGTTGGTTGTTGTGGAATGTCACTCGATACATTGGTGTAAAGCATGGATGGATGTTTTATATTTAAAAAGATGTGCAGCATTTAGCATCAAGTGGTTCTATCATGAGCCTTATTTACACGGTTATGCATGGTTTACTGTGTTGATTTGTCAATGAATATATTATTAATACTTGCTTTATTTTTCATTCATGTCTAGGCGCGAAACTTTCAAGACACTTTCTGCTCAGTTTACGTTATCTTACAAAACTGAACAAGTAAGTTTGGTCATGCTCAGCAACTTCGTGTTACATTTCACATTTGATTTGGTTGTTTGGTGCTTGTATCAAATATTGCATTATACTTGTAAATAGCAAGATTTATCAAAATTTAAACTTGCTCTTGTCAACAACCCACATTCTGCCTTGATAAATATATCACATCTAATGATTTGAATAATTAGGATCGTGCGTTGCATGCGCCAGCATATTTGAAAAGAGTCGTTGACACATTCAATGAAACCTCTATGAAAGACATTGTAGAAAGGTATACTGGCCAAATTTAGCGTCTGCCAATATGCATACATTTTGTTTGTAAACACTTGTTATGCTGATTTGCTTCAATTATTACAGTGCAACTTGCTCTTCGGAAGTTCGCAATCTCATTTCTCTTGCGACAAAATCCCTGAATGCAACATTGGTTTCCCGTGCACCTAAAGATTCAATTGAATCAGGTATCGCCTAACAGTAGCTATTGTATGCAATATAATCTAAATATGGATTTAGAGACTTAACCTACTGTATTATAATGGATTTAGTTCAACAAGTTATTACACAACGCGAATCTCTGCGTATCAGCCTTCGAGTGTTTGAACTCTTGGCATTGACAGATAATGTAAATTCCATTTTATTTGATATTCTTTCTAATATAAAAATATGCACTCAACATTTGGTTCTGCTGAATAAACAACACGTCCCAGCATGCCATTTTCAGACTCATTTCAGGTGCTGGTGCATTCAAAAATATCAACTCTCTATTCATCCCGTTGTCCTGTACTACTAAAACAACTGTAGTAGCGCAGCTTGGTCCAGGGAAATGGGATGAGAATGAAGCCACATTTCGTGCAATTGCCAAGTCAATGAGCGAAATTATTAGATCCATGGTTCGAAAACAAGATTTTACCAAGGAAATTGATGTTGAATTATTGTTTAAAGTTTTGCTGACAAAACCAACAGAAAAAGACGATGATACATGTTTGTGGCTTCAGTGTGCTCGAAATGCAATCAATTATATATGCCGAAGTGATATGCTTGACATGGATTTGTGCGGCTGGATCATGAGCTCAAAGCAAATACCAATTTTTCTCGAGCAAATCAAGCAAAATATGGAACTGTCCAAAATTAGTGTTTCGGCAATTTTATTTTCAGCAATGGTGTCTGTTTTAAAGGTTGAATATTGTCTTGTTTATTTTATACTGCTATTGTATTTTTGAACTGATTTGCTTGTAATCTTTTTACAGGAATCTTTTCAACTTTCTTGGCTTTTAATAGAAGAATTTGAAACTCTTGGCGGCTATGAGATTGCAACAAAACTGTTGTGGGCATCGGCTACTTATGAAAATTCTGATCTGGAAAGCGTATTGCTTCGCTCCTTGGATACACTTGCTTACATTGGCTCATCAGATGATGATAATATGGTTGCAGGCGATGTAGAAATCCCCTTTCAACATGTAGATTTTCATATTCCCGTTCCTGGACAAGGTATTGTGACGATTTCTAAATTGAAAAGTAGTAATGAATAGCAATGATAACAATTGAGCATCTACGGAATCAATTTAGGTCCAATTTTTCGTAATCAAAACAGTCTTGAGGTTTTCAAAAATATACTAATGGAAAAGTCGCTTGTTTCCGAGTACAAAATATCGGCATTGCAACTTGCTCGAATTCAATCTGCAGCTGTGGGAGGCTTGCTTGAGATTCTAAAGGCAAATCCTATAAACTACTTTATTATCAGTCGATCCAATATTATTCTCTGTCTTGTGGAAGGTCTCGATCAAGTTGATATTGCAACTCAAGCTGGAGTCATGGAAATTCTTCGTTTTATCATTATAGAGCTAAACTACGTGCCATTCAAAGAGCTTGCGCTACTTTTTGTTCATCTACAGGGATCGTCATCTTCTGCCACAATTAAAATTGTTTCAGATTTTTGTTGCAGTTTGCTAGATGAATCACGCAGACTCAAAGATGTATTTCGCGAACTTGGATTACTTAGTATGTTTTCTAGTTTATTTTCAAGTTTGATCAAAAAGTTTTCAAATTCTACTGAAAACATGCTTGCAGAAAGTCCATCAAGCTTTGGAAGTCAGACATTTGTTATTGAGGAGCCATTGATTGCAGGATTTATGTACTTGATGCAAATCCTTCAACGACTTATCCAAAACTATGACAATATGCAAATGTTCAGATCCAAATCGCGCCAGCATATCATTGAGCTCATTCGATATGCACCGATTCGTGCCGGCGTGTTTTTGATTTTGGAGGTAACCAAACAGTGTATATTACATAGGTTAATTGGTACTATTGTATTATAGTGTTTTAACTGGCAGGTTATATGATTTAATTATAGGAACTGATTTGTGGAAAATTTATATCCACTACTATTCGTGCAAGTACTGTTGGAGAAAAACACGAACTTCAAGGCATTATTGAAGCGCTTGGCACTGTTGCTAAAGACGATCTTGGTTTAAAACTAGACATTCTTGGTCTGATAAACAAGGCTTTGTCCATGTCTACGACTATGCAGCACGCATTCCAAACAAATAATGGCTTTGAATCTCTGCTCATTTCTGTGTCCATGCTTAACCTTGAAATTGAGCAAAATGACTTTTTAAAAGAATCTGCAGTTTTGAAAAATAGAACTCAGGATCCATTAGTGACTTGGTTTGAGACATTCATACTCGCCTTGCGAAACTGCCCAAAAAACCGTCAATATGTAGAAAAAAATTTCAATCGCGACTTGCTTACGAAAGCATTGTCAACAAGCTATATCAAGCCTGATCGTAGCATTCATCTTGTTATTGGTGGATTGTTTGGACTTGCTTATGAAAGCTTTGATTTTATTGAATTTTTTGATTCAAACGTTTATTCCGATATTTCCTACAAGGCTTTAACTGATGCTATTACAAATCGTTTTCAGGCTACTCCAGTTCCATTGCTACGTAATGTTCAATTTATTGTTATTATTTTCCAACTTCTTGAAGAAATTCCTCACACTAGCAGCGTGCTTATAAATTCTGTTCTTGGAGCAATACAAGCCACTTCTATGGTTTGCAAGCACAATCAAACTCTGCTGTGCTCATCAGGGATCATGCAAATTCTATTTAGCTGGCTTTTTAACCGACATTCATGTTGGTTTATTTGTCCATCTCCATCAGATTCATTTAGTTCTTTAAATGATCAACCAAACGCGGATCACGATCCAACGATTTTCATGAAGCAAACCGAATTGATGCTTGTATCCATTGCTAAACGCCTACTAGAAATCGGTATATCTGACGATGAATTGCAGTATCTATTATCAAGAGTAGATATTCGAACACTTCAACGAACAACTGATAAACAAAACATGCTATTTGAGTTTCTACTTCATGGTTTACGCTACAGCCGATCTCCATATTATCTACATTTTGATGGCATGTTTTTGGGCCCGTCTGGTTATCTAACCATTCCCGACTACCATCGATCTTTTCCACCAATAAGCGGTTACACTTTTATGGCATGGGTTCGTGTTGAACGATTGGATACTTTGTGTAACACTGAAATCATGTCAATTTTTGATCCAGAAGATAAAGAGCGACTGTGCATTGCCATTGAGCCATCAAAATCAAAACGTTTGGTTGTTCGCACTATCAAAACCACATGTGTTTTTGAAAATTTTGTTTTTAGAGAACGCCAATGGACACATATAGCGCTTGTACATCAAAAACCTCGTATTACAGCCAGTAGCATTCAGCTATATGTGAATGGTGTTTTGACAGAAACAGCAAAATGTGGATATCTTGGTCATCCAGGAACAGTTTCCAAGGTGCAGACGTATATTGGAACTAGATCTGACAATCAAAACAGCATGGATGCCGAATGTCATAGTATTTGGGATCTTGGCCCAACATATTTTATTGAAGAAGTCCAGCTATCGGCAAGCGAAATTAACACTATTTACGAGAATCGATTCAACTCTGTAGCCAATTGGCAAGGATACTTGTCCAACTATCAAAAACTGGACAAATCGACACACGCTGCTGTTGTTTCTCATATTGAAGATGAAACTTCGCCACTCAAAACCATTTCTTTTGTGTTGAGCCCAACCAAGGCTCATCCAGAAACACTTGATATTCCTGAAGATAAAATTTTGTTTTCGCTGTGTGCCAGCAATTCTCTAGACAAGGTTATTGATCGCCATTCCAATGAAAATGGATCTGGATTAGCGATAATTGCAGCTAGAATTCTTCCTTCATGCAATGCTTTGTTCAACTCTGCTATTCCAAAACCAAGACCGGATGAAGATGTAGAGGCATCATGTGTGTTGGTAAATGGAGAAGTTTTAGTTGTATGCACTAACCGGATGATTGATGGAATTTGGAAATTGGGAGGTTGCGCGGTGCTTCTTAAGCTGATTGAAATCAGTACTACATCAGAGTCGCTTTACCAAAGTGTTTCCGTATTGATCGAGTCTCTTGAATACAATTGGCGAAACGCGGCGGAAATGGAAAAATGCCACTTTTTTGAAATCCTGTCACATCTCATCAAATCTAAACGAGACTTGGTTACCATTGCAATCATGGATGTTCTGCTGATTCTTGTTGGAAGAACGCTTGAAAACTCTGAAAATTCAACCTTGATCAATGGGCAAGCACTTCGCCATTTGTTTTTAGACGTGGAACTATGGCGAACCACTCCTGAACTGCAGCGCTATTTCCTCACTTTAATGACCGATTTTATTGTCCATAGTTCAAATAGGGATCACAATATTCAGAAATTGAACAAAATGGCCATGATTAAACGAATCTTACTGATGCTCAAATCTCACATTATTCCAATCGAGCTTCTTCCTGACATTGTGAATCATTTAAAGATTTTCTTAAAAGCTGGATGGTCTCCCGATACTATTAAATCTGTTTGTACGTATCTCATGTACACTCTACCCAAAGAAGATGATTATTCAGAAGTGCGCGATTTGGCTGTAAAACTGAAAACACAATGCAACAACAAGACACTCGAGGATGCTCCAGCTCTTATTGTAAGCTCAAAATCTCTTCAGCATCATTCCTATGGTGTACAAGTGCGAAACTATATTCTAGAGATGCTATTTGATATTTTAAGCGAGAAATCGGACAACGCCAATAACTTTGCCTATGAGTTTTCGCGAGTGAGCAGCTCCAGATGGATTATTCTTTTTTGTGGACCACGACTTGATTTGTATAGCGTAACTATAGCTTGCAGAATTTTTGCAAAACTATGGATATCGCACGACATGACTGCGCCTTCAAAATTCAAGGAAGGATGTTTGATAATGGCTCGGCTGCTCCAACCCTACTCAAATGTACTTCAAATCTACCCCTCTTTGCTAGCAATTCTTTGCGGTTTGGATGTTTCAACTGTTCCACTGGACATGTCGTATGATGTTTCAACGCTTATGGCGGTGATGAAGCCACTTGGAATAAAAGCTCGCCGAAATATATCACCAGATATTATGAGGGTCATTTCAAGTTTACTAACGCAGACCGTACGCACGCTTAGTAAATGGTCTAATACACTTAGTTCAATGGAAAAATTAAATGGAAATCGACATAATATTTATCAGCTTTCCCATCAGCTATTTGATTCTACTGATGATCTTAAGCCTGAGGGACAAAAAGAAGACTCGACTAATTCTGATGTTGGTAAGCTGAAAGTGTAGTCGTTGCGTTTTAATTGTCATTAATATTTCACGAAACCCCTGTTTAACAACTATACATATCTACTAAATTATTAGAACGAGCTACTTCAAGACTGGAATGTTTTTCAGAAGTGGTTCAAACCACCCTTCAGTTTATTGGCACCATGTATCGTTACATAGAAGATATGAAAGACTCGGTGTGTCGTCAAGAAGCCATTGATGATATTGTTGGAATGCTATTCAGACTTATATCTACTGAACAGCCACTTTCTTTAGAAAAAGAATTGATGCTAAAGGATAGCCCAGAAGAATTTGACAAGATCACCGTTGAAACTTTATTTTCTGCAAAAAAACAAATGGAAGGTACCTCGGAAATATTAAAACTGCAAATGAGGTTTATGACTGTAGAGTCAAACAATATACAGTCATCCACTGTTTTTTCCGAAACAGGGGAATCAATGTTTGCCATTTCGGATCGTAGTCAAAGTGAGCCCAGTGGCCGTGGAAAAGACGTTTCAGAAGCGGCTGCTCAATTTAAAACGCAAAAAGTGTTTACATTATGCAACACATCCACAGATAATACCACTACAGCAACCCGTGGTATCATTGATGCGTTGATTGAATTGATTCTTACAATTACTGTAGAGTCGATTTTGGGAACTTGGAAACCATTACAGGGGCTTGATATGGCATTGAAGGCTATTCCGCCATCAAGCAAAACTGCACAAAAAGACTTTCAATGCTTTTTGTTGTTGTGCACCATAAACTCAGTTTATTCTAAAATCAACAAACGCAAAGTGTATGTGTCAGATACACGGGTACTAGCAAATATCGGAAAGCTTATTTCTTTACTTGTAGACAAAATCTATCAAGGCGTGTTTACTGAAGGTCCAGAGGTTGTTTATGATTTTGTATTAGCCGTCGTAGATATTATTCAAACTGTGGACGAGGAAAATACCATAAAAGTTTTACGTACAGACTTCAACTATCTTCCCGGGTTCCTCAAACATGTCAACCGATTAACCGCATACTATTTTGGATATATATCTTTGCAAAATGATTCAGATGGACAATTAATGTGCCGCTTACTCGACAAAATTATATTTTATCAAAAAGTTATACTCAGTTCAAAAAACAGCGATGCTGAAGCATTCAAAATGATTACACATCACATGCTTCAATGTTTGCTGAGCGACAACGAAGCAATACAAACTAAAGCAATTGCTGTAAGTCACGCATGTAATCTCAACTGTTTAGTTTTACAATATGTATGGTAGTGAAGCGATTAAACTAAAAACTATCCATCATCTGTAATTTGGTTTAGATTTGGAAACAATTGCTTTTGCAAAAACCCTCTAATGTGTCGGCTCTATTGCGATCGTCTAAATCATCCACCGAATACAAAGACCTTATTGACGGATTTTCAAAGATTCTTGAAGTAGATTCTTCAGGATTTCTTTCCTGGCTTGCGTTAAATAGAGGAGAGGTATTGGTGCTATTCCAAGAAAATGCTACTCGTGCATGGGATATATTCTGTCAAAATGAAATCCGCGCTGTAAAAGAGTCTGGTAAAGCAGCCAATAAAATGCGATACTCAAAACTCAAAAAGCACTACAAGAGAATGACACTAGAATCGGATGTATACATGAAGTATTTATCCAAATCCAAATCATGGCTACAAGACACACAAAGGTTTGAGCTAGATAAGTTTCAAAGATTCCGACAAGACTATGTGGTTATGTTAGCTTCTATTGAGGCCGAATGGATTGCTCTTTCTAACGGACTACTGATGGAGCGTGCTATATGGGGTCCAGAGCGTGATGATCAAATCAGGTGGAAACTCGACTTTACAGAAGCAAAAGCACGGATGCGAAGGAAAATGAGACGCAATCACGACATGAAAGTGCACTATCAGTCCAAATTTGAAAAAATCCAACTGTCTGCCAGATCCACAAACCCACCTCAACTGGAATTAAGCCCAGATTCCAGCAAAGAAGACAGGCGTGAAGCTCCGTTGAACGTTGCTACCGAGGAAAATTTTTTAAACGATGCTATGCCAGAGCTATCTTCATCTGTTTTTGATGTATCGCCTGTGGATGCTAATGCCGAGGTTGGATCAGACATTATGACTGATCTTGAGGCAAATATTCTGGCAAAAGACATGACAGAAGATGAGCCAGCTGCTTTTGAGACTTCGACGCTAAATGTACACCTCTCTACCGATAATCTTCAAACCGACAAGGATGGCATTGAGCCAGAAAATGATTGGGAGGAGGTTGTTCCCGAAGAAGATCAAAATCGTAAGATACTTCGACTTCTTGAGCCTGGGGATGAGATAGTAGATACCATAAACTGCGCAAGACTTGTCGGGCTTGAGCTTTGTGAAGGTCTTTGCATTCTATGCCAGGAGAATATTTATTTGGTTGATAATTACTTTAGACGCGCGGATAGTGAGATTGTAGACATTGATGACGTGCCTGGCGAAGAGCGCAACATATATCATTTGATTGTTACTGGTTCCAAAAAGTCGGAACATGATAGCGAAAATACAGTTGCACAGTTAGACGAAGATCGACACACGTGTCGAAAGTGTTCTTTTGAAGATATTAAAGAAGTACACAAACGACTGTATTTATTCCGAAACGTAGCTCTGGAAATTTTTATTGGCGATGGGCGTAATTTTTTGCTGACGTTTTGGTCTGTTCGAGCAAGAGATGCAGTTTATAATCGAATGATTAGCAAAGCTTCTTTGAATACTGGTGAATCTGTGTCTGGAATTGCACCATCATCTGGTCAGAGCGTTTTGCAAAACGTGATATTTGGAGGAAGCCCACTGGCAGAACTCACACAAAAGTGGTGTTCTAGAGAAATCAGCAATTTTGCTTATCTCATGCATCTCAATACCATGGCCGGAAGAAGTTATAACGATCTTACACAATACCCTGTCTTTCCGTGGATCATTGCCGACTATGACAGTGAAGAGGTATTTTTGCTTTTTAAGTGTATTGAAGCGCCGAGTTTTGCTTTTTCAACAAGACTATCTAATTCAAACAAAATCATAAATATTTAAGCTTGATTTGACAAACCCAGCAATATTTCGAGATCTTTCTAAACCAATGGGTGGACAGGGTGCAACTCGAGCATCAGAATTTATTGATCGTTTCAACACATGGGATGATCCAAATATTCCTGGATGTCATTATGGAACGCATTACAGCTCTTCAATGATAGTTTGCTCGTATCTAATTCGTCTTGAGCCATTTACGCAGCAATATTTGAAGTTACAGGTATGTAGTTTTTATTGGCTACTATTTTTTGATTGGTGACAATGGAATCATTGTGATTTTAGTTTCAAATCAACTGACCTGCTGTTTGATTGCATTTTTGTAGGGAGGTCATTTCGATCATCCAGATCGTCTATTTCACTCTATTGCAATTTCTTGGGCATCTGCCAGTAGACTCAATACAACAGACGTCCGAGAGTTGATTCCCGAGTTTTTTTATCTTCCTGATTTTTTGAAAAATGCCAACAAATTTGAATTTGGTGAGTTTATCTATGCCAAACTTGTGCTTTGGCTTTTACAACCTGTGTGGAATATTGTAAACCAACAATTTCATAATCTAAACCCAATGGGTTTTAAATTTAATAGGCACAAAGCAGACAGGCGAAGTGATTGATCATGTTTTTTTACCGCCATGGGCAAAAAATGATCCAAACTTGTTTATCCAAATTAACCGCGAAGCTTTGGAGTCGGAATATGTTAGGTATGCAACAGTGAAATAGGATCAAAATTGATTTCTTTTGCTAACTATATTTATATAGTGCACATTTACACGAGTGGGTGGACTTGATTTTTGGCTTTAAACAACAAGGTTCCGAGGCAGCCAAATCAGTCAATGTCTTCCATTATCTATCCTACGAAGGAGCAGTTGGTTAGTAATGCTTGTTAAAGCAGCTGCAATTGCATTTGTTGTGATTACCACGACAAGAATAGATCTAAATATTTTGTTGAAACTTTAATGTAGATATTGATAAAATTGAAGATCCAGTAGAAAAGCAGGCTACAATTGGAATTATTCACAATTTTGGCCAAAGTAAGATCTTTGATATTGCTGGCTCTAAAACATGAGAAACTGTAAACTAAACTGTACATTCATGTTTAATTTTCTTGAATACAGCACCACGCCAGCTGTTCAAAAAACCACATCCAAAACGTACAAGTGATGGCAGTGAAAATCAATACAAAATCCACAGAAACGCTGACATGCTTATTCAAGCTGCTGCACCAATCAAAAGTAATTTTTATAAACTGACCTTGGTTTATTCGTGTACCATGCATTAAATATTTCTTCTCACTTTTATGTTTAGCTATTGCAAATCAGCCCATCAGCGATATTTGGATTAGCCCAACAAGCGACAAAATTATGAGTGTTGCCGCGTGTAAATTGTTTGTTCCACCCACTTGCAATCGATATATTGAATGGGATTATCTAGATGACAGCCTGCGTCTATGTCAAACAGAGACAGGAAAGGTGATTTTAATACATGGTCAAAATGTGTTGGTAGTTTTGACATTGACTGATACATTCTAACTGTCGTGACAATCTATGTAATATAGGTGCTTGTAGTATTTGAAAATTTGCACATTGGCCATGTTTCTTGTGCTGCATTTTCAGATCAAAGATTTTTGGTTACTGGTGGAAGTGATATGAGCATATGTATCTCAGAATTGACGCAAACCAAACGACCTGATTTGAAATTGATAGCTTGTATGCGTGGTCATCGCAAAAAAGTACTCACAATTGCTGTATCACGAGCTTATTCACTTATCGTTAGTGGTGGAGAGGTAATTGATAATATGATTCTGAAATTGAATGTGGAACTTGAGCAAATTTGATATTAACTTGTTGCTATGTTTTCTGAATTTGCTTGGTTTTGTATCATAGGATTGTGTTGCCATCATCTGGGATCTTAATCGACAGCAATATACTCGCACATTGTTTGGGCATAGCAGTCCTGTAACATGTGTAGCTATACACGAAGGAACTGTGAGTTTAATGCATTTTCATTAATTATAATCTGTGGTTGGTTTACTTGAATATAAAAATAGTTATCCTTACCATATTTTTTAAAAAACAGGGTGATATTATTACATGCTGCTCGTCATTGCTTAAATTTTGGAATGTAAATGGCGATCTACTTATTTCCAAGGCGTTTACTACAGCTACATATGACCCAGTGACATCGTGTGCATTTTATGAGGTAAATTATAGCTCATATTTACCTTTTGGAATAGTGAACATGTATGATTAAAAACATTATTATTTAAATACAGGGTCGTCAGTCAGAGTCTTTTGATTCAAACTTTGTGTTTATTGGCCATAAAAAAGGTGCGTTTATAACGACTAATTGATTTTATATTAAAACACGCTATTGATTTTCATGAATTTACAGGACACATCAAAATCTGGTCCAAAGTATTTGTTGAAAATACATCTGTAACCAACTCTAGCGAAAATAGTATGTAATTAATTTACAAATGTATGCATTTGAACGACCACTTATGATGCATTTTTCGATTATTTTTAAAAGACAGATGGGATTTGAAATGCATAAAGACATTAGAGCCACATACAAATCCAAGTGCTGTAACTGTGATTCGCTCGACAAGGTATCAATCTTTGACTATACAGTCTATAATGTGTTTTGGGATTATAGGTTATGTTATAATGCTAAAATACACATGTGTGTTTAGCTCTGGGCGGTTTCTTTTGTCGGGCGATGCAACTGGTCGGGTAAACTCGTGGATGTAAGTTGGATATACTTGTAAAGTCAGTGATTTTGGATGTAGAATTTGCCGATAATTGTATTGAGCTTGCGCATTTCAAATTACTTGCTTGAAACCAATAGGATGCCTGATGGAAGTGGAACCGAACTACACTTTGCTCACGAAGATGCCTGTATGAGTTGCAACATGAAATTTAGTGTTTTAGGTATTTATTTATGCTATCCTTTAAATACATGAGTTGACCAAAGTATAATTTAACAATGAATCATTTGGACTCTTGCTTTACTTGTTTAAAACAGAACGTAAAGGAAATTGTCGATGCTGCGGAGGTGAGTTTAACAGCGATTGATGAATGGAAAGTATTTTTAAATCAAAACAATGTCTAATTGATACACTTGCGATATTTTCTATTTCAACCCATTCTAGGATCCTTTTGTCTGCCATGCATGGCTACCATTACCGATCGCGGTTATCGAATGTGTCATACTTGCTATGGGAAAGTACGAGCTCTGGCGATCGTGACATCGTCAACGACACTAGCTCCCGTACCGAGCACTCCTATTACATCACAGCCAGAAAATACTTTGGGTTATTCAGCAAGTCTTCCCAGAGGATAGTTACAAAATGATAGACTTGATTAGGCAAATGAAGGATCGTTTCGATATGAATAAAGAATAGTTTTTATTGCAAATTCAGCTGCTAAAAATGCACATGGCAATCCATTGCAGAGTAAACTCAAGTTTTGAATTTGACGGATTCTCTGCTCAAATATTCCAAAGGATTCTTCAATGCTTGAACAGCTGCACTGGACCGAGTGGAAACCTCGTCAAAATGGATGAAATTGAACTTTCCTGAAAACTCGAGAATTTATTGCAAAACCAGAGATCGTTTTTTATTAGTGGTGTTTTATTGTAAGGGCTGGCTTGTGATGTTGTGTTGAGTCGATTGGTAGTGGAAGCTGTATGTAGCATTCATGCTCTATTTTTGAGCCAGGGATGTACGGCTTTAAACTGCATTGGACATTGTAAACGCATTCATGTGCTAATCTATCCACTCTAATTTGATTTGAATCTAATGATAAATACAATAGTCTTATCATGTTTCCATTGGTGCGACGACTCAATTCCTGCTCCATGACTCCTGCAGTACATCAATTAACTGGAATCTCCAAATGGCCGGTCACAGTTTCTATGTGTTCTATTCGTGCATATACAAGCCATTCGTCAACTACCATCAATGGAATATCTCGTATTTCACTACTCTCAGATACAAGCGTCGCTAGATCGTCTAGTGAAACTACAACGAACACAGTGTTGCATTTGGCAAGGTACAGCAAGTTCCATTCATTCTCGCAGCCATTATTGCAACGTCGGGTTGCCAAGCTGGCTCGATCCAGGCTAATTACTTTGAAAGATGTTGAAGCCATAGAGGCAAAGAATACTGCACAAAATCCCACCGGCGGTGATGATAATTCATCTAATACTGGTGCGCCAGGTGATGCTGGAGACTCGGATGATGGCAACTCGGGCAAAAAGCCTTCATTGAAACCTGCTGCAAAGAATGCCGAGTCTGAAGTAGATAACCCAGATTCGAATGAAGGCGATGCTGCGATTGAGATTAAAAACAGTGGCGACAAGTCTCGCCAAAGGAACATCAATGACAAGCAATCGAAATCTAAGAGCACTACAGATGCCATAATTCGAAGTCGTTCTATTCGCAAATCCACTGTTTTAGACTCATCTTCAGCTAATAATGGAGAGAATTCGGCCATTGAAAAAATCGTTGTACCCGATGAATATCCTCAACTTCTAGCGATCCCACTAACTCGACGACCTTTGTTTCCTGGATTCTACAAATCGCTTTACATTAAGGAACCAAAAGTCATTCGTGCAATTCAATCTTTGGTGGAGCATCGTCAACCCTATATCGGTATTTTTCTAGCCAAAGATGAAAACTCGGAAAATGACGTTGTAACAGATATCAGTGAAGTTTACAGAACTGGTGTTTTTGCGCAGATCACTAATACCTATCAAACGGGACCAGATAGTAACGCGCTGACCGTTGTGGTGTATCCTCACCGCCGAATCTGTATCAGTGAGCTTGTAATGCCTCTTGTAGATGGAACTGTTGAACAGTCAAAGACGACCACCACTGAAATTACAGAGTTACACACGATAGAATCTGCTGAAGAAAAAGTAGCTGATGCAGATTCAGCCGAGACGGTCGTTAGTAAATCAGAAAACTTAATGGAGGAAAAGACTGATGAATCTATAGCTAGAGACACTGTCGAGGCTGAACAAGACGAATCCGGTAGGTTAAAATTCAGTTTGGTATTTAAACCATAGATGTATGAATTTGTTCGTGTTTTGAGTCATACTAGGTATTTAACTCATGCATTGAAACTGTTGATTTTTTGAAATGTTTGTAGAATTGCCCAGGTTTCTTCCAGTTAATGCTCACTTGTTGCAGCACGATGTTCCTCTTGCCAACGTTGCAAATCTTGTTGAGCAACCTCACAGTCAAGATAATCGTCTTATTAAGGCAATTACCTCGGAGATTGTTAACGTATTGAAAGAAATTTCTCAACTCAATCCCTTGCTACGTGATCAAATCATTAGCATTTCTGTTCAGACTGGAAATCTCTTGTTAGATCCTTCTCGACTGGCCGATTTTGCTGCTGCCGTGTCGTCAGGAGAGCCAAGTGAGCTACAGAGTATTCTTGAAAGTCTGGTCGTTGAAGAGCGTCTCCACAAGTCACTCGTTGTGCTTAAGAAAGAACTTGCCAACGCTAAACTGCAGCAAGAAATCTCAAAGGAAGTCGAAAGAAAAATGACTCGCAAACAGCAAGAGTATTTTCTCATGGAACAACTCAAGGGTATCAAAAAAGAACTCGGTATGGAATCTGATGGTAAAGAGAAGCTGGTTGAAAAATTCAAAGCAAAGGCCGCCAAACTACACATGCCTGAAGCAATCAAAAAAGTGTTTGATGAGGTATATAATATGTTTTTGTAATCCTTTAATGATCCAAAATAGTACTATTAATTACTGATGCATCTTTATGTCGTTGGGTTGTTTAGGAAATCAACAAGCTTCAACATCTTGAACCCGCGGCATCCGAGTTTAATGTTACACGCAACTACCTTGACTGGCTTACACAGATTCCATGGGGACAGAGTAGCAAAGAAAACTATAATATCAAACATGCTGTTACTGTTCTTGACGAAGACCATTATGGACTCAAAGATGTAAAAGAGCGTATTCTTGAATTTATTGCTGTTGGAAAGCTACGGGGAACTGTAGAAGGCAAAATTATCGCAATGGTCGGGCCACCAGGTACTTTTTAAATCCATTCACTCAATTCGTTCTAGTCTGTATATTGTATGCCATGTACTTGAGTGCATAAAGTTGTTTCTAACTCAATGTGATGCGCTGTGTGTTGATACAGGTGTAGGAAAAACCTCTGTTGGTAAATCTATTGCTCGTGCACTTGGCCGAGAGTTTTATAGATTTAGCGTTGGTGGTTTATCAGATGTAGCGGAGATCAAGGGCCACAGGCGTACATATGTTGGTGCGATGCCAGGAAAGGTTGTTCAAGCATTGAAAAAGGTTCAAACTGAAAACCCTCTGATTATGATTGATGAAAGTAAGTTTACATTGTAACTTGACCCGAATTGCTTGTTTTCGGTTTGACACCTGTCTGCCATTGATAACTTAAGAATCTTTTGATGGTTGAATTTTATTTACTTTCAAGTCGATAAGCTTAGTCGGGGGAATCAGGGTGATCCAGCAAGTGCTCTTTTAGAATTGCTCGATCCTGAGCAGAATAGCTCGTTTTTGGATCATTATCTTGATGTACCTCTCGATCTATCCAAAGTGTTGTTTGTTTGCACTGCTAATACACTCGATACTATTCCTGCACCTTTGTTGGACAGAATGGAGATAATTACTTTATCTGGATATGTTGCAGAAGAAAAGATTGCCATTGCTTCCAAATATCTAGAGCCTGCATCGCGCTTATCATGTGGGCTTACTGAAAAAGATGTTACCATCACTGACAAGGCATTCGATGTTTTGATTAAGCAATATTGTCGTGAAAGTGGTGTGCGTAATCTCAAAAAGCAGATTGACAAGATTTTTCGCAAGGCTGCATTTAAAATTGTGGATAGCGAGATTGCTGTTCAGCCAGCTACATCTGACACGAGTGCGGCTGCCGAGTCCGTTCCATCGACTGACTCGTTGACTACAGTAACTAATACCACTGCCATGCCATCAACACAGTCAGAAGATTCGATTTCTGAATCTACCATTCCACCACATACACAAATAGCTCACAAGTCAAAAGAATTGATTACCATTACACCAGAAAACTTGCATGAATATGTTGGATCGCCTATTTTCACATCAGATCGACTGTATGAAGAAACACCGCCTGGTGTTGTTATGGGACTGGCGTGGACACAAATGGGTAAGTGTTGAAATCAGATATTTGGAAAAAATGCAATTGTATTGTTATATATTGGTAATCTAATGCAAAAATGTATGGGTTTGAAAGGTGGATCATCGCTGTTTATCGAGTCTGTTTTGGATTCTCCTTTTACAGATGAAAACAAACCATCCTTTCAACGAACTGGTCAAATGGGTGACGTGATGAAGGAAAGTACTACCATTGCATACACATATGCCAGAGCAATCTTTGCCAAGCGTTTCCCTGAAAACGATTTTTTCAAAAAGGCAGGCATTCACATGCATGTTCCTGAAGGTGCAACACCCAAAGATGGTAAGCAGTTTAAAGTGACAGTATACGTAAATGGAGTCTGTATCATATTATGGAGCTAACCTGATACGTCTGTATATTGTGGTGATACGCAATTGTTATATTCTATTATTTAAATAGGACCCTCGGCCGGATCTACAATGACCACATCACTTCTTTCATTGGCATTGAACAGACCAGTTATTCCTGATGTTGCCATGACAGGTGAAATCACTCTTACTGGTAAAATCCTCAAGATTGGAGGTGTCAAGGAAAAGTCTATTGCAGCCAAACGCAGTGGTGTCAAGCATATCATTTTTCCAAGCGCAAACAAGAGTGATTGGGATGAACTTCCCGACTATATCAAAGCAGGACTTAATCCACATTTTGTTAAATGGTACGATGAGATCTATGCAATTGTGTTTCCAGATATTTAAATTGTCCGTAAAATGTCACTGGCATCAACCGAGATGGAGGGCAAACCACTATTTAGTCAGCAGATGACTTTGAACTTTTGGATTATCGAGTGATTGTGAAACAATAAAAGGCTTGAGTTTACAAGCAACTCGTTTGTAACTCTAAACCAGTACTATTTTGTCAACTAAATGTGTACTATCATTACTCATGTATTCATCCAAGTCATGTATAGACAATATGATGATATTTAGCAGCCTCATTAACTTGAGAAATGGATCAAGTATTAAAAGCATAAACCCCCAATTTAATCAAATTGTATAAACCTTGACAGTATAATTGTAACTCGGTGATTGTATTTACCAAAGAAGTGATGTAGTAAGGGATCCGTGCTGTAATGGGGCACTTGATCACCACTTGCACAGATATATTTGAAAGTCAATTTAAGAGCAGTGAATAACGGTGAAAAAACCCAAATATAGATTTGAATAAAGCCTAAATTTAAAATAAACCAGCTGGTCATAGCGAATCAAAACATCGACTTTGTAAGCCAAAATAGTAGGAATGCGATCAGGCGTGGTAAAAGTTGAAACTCAGCACTGCGACTACAGGAAATAATCTGGCGTGCGACGGGTGACATGTGGTTCGCCACGACGTGGAGCAGGATCAAATTGTAGGCTAGATACGATGGTCCAAGTAATAGTAGGAATAAAAGGAAGATTAGTACAGATGAAAGTTGATGATATTCCAAACTAAACATTTTAAAAACATACAAAGTGTATTTAAGGTGTTCGTCAATTTCCATGATGGCGGCTTGATTTCCACAGCGATAACAGTAGTTTGGCGCACTAAAAATAGTAACTACATTTCTGTCTTGTGCCCAGTTATATCCCTGCAATATAGGCCAACATGACAAGCATGCATTTTTAATTAGTACGATTCACCAAATACACTGGGAAACTAAACTTACCTCCATGACAAGCTGATGAGCTCTTGATATAAGAGTGAGGCCATTGTTATGATTAAATGCCTCTGAGATGTCTTGACCAAAAGTATAACCAGCACCTCGAGGAGAGATGCCCCATCCACAGCGGTCATCCGGATCAGACCTAAAATAAAGTGTCAGTATTGGTACTACATCAAAACAAGAATCAAACTACTGAAACAGCAGAGTACAAACGCTTTATGAATTTACCAAAGAAGATCTACAAAAACCAAAACTGTTAGTCTTGATCCTACAAATGACTCATGCAAAGTATACTAGTAACGTACCACACATGGGACCTTCGTGAGGAACTTCTTGAATACGATCCAATGATCGAATATGATCGAGGGTGTCGATGGAAGGCGAGAGACCACCATGCAGACAGAAAATCTAAACAGGAACACCAAAATACATCAATGCCTTGTATCTATTCAACAAAACTGCACACTATGAGATTGCATACTTGGTCCTCAATCAGTGCGGTTAACGGAAGATAGTCGAATAAGTCAGTGTACATTTTCCAGACGTTGGGGTTGCCATATTTTCGGAGACATTCGTCATAAAAGCCATATACTTGGGTAATTTGGCGAGATTCATGATTACCACGAAGAATAGTAACACGGTTGCGATAACGCACCTTGAGTGCAACAAGAAGGGTGACGGTCTCGACAGAATAATAACCACGATCGACATAGTCGCCCATAAAAAGATAGTTTGTATCTGGCGAGTTTCCGCCGATTTTAAAAAGCTCCATTAGATCGTGAAACTGGCCATGGATATCACCACAAACAGTAACTGGACAACGGATGCCCTGTACATTGGATTCTGCCATCAATACCTCGCGAGCCTACATAAAAGGTTTACATTACACATGCAGCAGGTTAAAAACACTTGTATGATTGGCAAGTACTGGATTAAAACTAGTAAAAGTATGATAACTGGAATGATCACTAGCGATTCAGAATAAGCCAGCAGATGATTAGATACATAAAGAGATTGGAGTAAATGGTTTGAAATGGCCGTGTACAGTGCAATGTTTGTCCATTACAAAGAGTAGCAAACCAAGTCATAGACTTGGCTCTAGTACACAACAAAGCCATAGATGATGAGGTTCAGAACAGCACAAAGACAGATGCAAAATATGATAGAGTGAGGTGCTAGCAAGTGGGTTGCTTTGTCCAACGACAGCAGTGGTTCATGAGCAAGATCCTTGGAACAGCCAAGGTGGAGACTACACACAATATTAAACCACAGCCAGGGTGGTTGATGACTGGAGTGACAAGCTCCTTGGAGTAGTTGCAGACACACTTCTCTCTCAGTCTACTTGAAGCATCCCAAGACCAAATGCCGCTCAACAAGTGGAATCTTTGATCCAAGTATCTCCACTGCAGCCATAATGAACAAGTTGAGAGCACGAAAGTCTGCTCAGATATCCTTGTGAGAATACTATAATCCATGTTCTGTCTGCATATATGATGCAGAACACTATCTGTACCCATCCATCAAGAATAGGAACCAGCCATAACAGTCACCACAACTAGTAAACACCCAGAATGTCAGTTGCACCTTTTCACATAGCTTCTTGACATCATTCTCAGGTAATTCCTTGCAGCTCATAAGACGCTGAATCCACGCATCTACATCGGTGTAGTCGGCGAGTGCCATTAGTTCACAATTGAGAATGTTTGATGGAAATAATAAATGTCAAGATTACAAGAATGCAATTCAACGCGTGCTCGTTTGCTGATCCAGCAGTAAGCACTGTTGGCATGTTCTATTCTTGCTGTATTGTATCGAAGCTTCAACTAGCAAGTTGAATGAATTAAAAACTGAACAATTCATTTAAAACTCAAATCATCACAACGACCGGTTTTGTGCATTTTTCTTTTGTTTCTCTCGAACTAACCGACTCTTGATAAGTCGACCAACATATCCACCCGTGTGTGTTGATTTGGGACTCTTTTGAGACTGCAGCATCATGGGCTCGGTATCATTATAACTTGTAAACTTTCGATCCATCAATTCATCTTTGTCTTCTACACGTGAATGTGGTTGTTTCAATGATCGAACTTGAGGTAAACTGCCTCCTGTTTGGCTGATGGATACTGGTTGAAAATGTGTAATGGAGGCTGTATTTAAAGCTGATTCACAAACAGTTGGGTCCATGTTACGTAAAGTACTACTACCAGAAAGAATACTTGCTGGGTTCGATGAAACACGAACGCATCGTGGTGGATGGTAGACACTCATCAAAGTTGTTGGAATGGACTCCACTACAGTATCAGCCTCGGATTGATTATCTACTGAAAATACTTGTTTAGTAGATTCATCAACTGCCACATATTCCTTGGTCGAGTCAAACACATTCCCATCGTGTATACGTGCAAGATTATCAAAGACATGTATTGCTGAAATAGAATCAGCTAATTCCGATTCGTATTGCTCCTCATCAATTTCCATTGCAGCAATTGTTTGTGATTGATGATTGTGAGGTGTTTGTTCAGTCTCTTTATAGATTGGATCTGAATCGCTGGGCAAAGCGGTCAGTTTATGATTCACACCTGTATCTCCAATTGCAATGGATCGAGATTTCTTGCCAAGGCGATATCGAATAGCACGAATTTTACTTGATGTACTACTAGATCCTTGTATAACGGGTGGGGAGGCTGCTGTCTTGGAATTACTCACCTCTTTACTGGTATTTGAAATGCATTTGGCAGCACCAGGAGTCACAGTAGAAACAAGCTTGTCGCTCACTTTTTCTTTTTTAGAAATGGGTGGAAGAACAAATGCTTTCGAAGCAATATCCACTTGCAACACCACAGGCTGCTGGCTGTTCTTGGTGTCCATTAGACCGGGTTGTAAATTCTGATGTGATTGAATAATATTTTGAAACTCTTTAATATCAAACTTGAGTCCAGCGAGAGCAAGAACCTCACAAACAACATCCATATCTCCCCGAAGATGGTTGATTTCACTTTGCTTTCGTTTGTTTTCTTCCGTCATACGCTCAAGAATGCCTTGATATTTTTTTCGTTCTCGCTCAACCAGAATATATATGGGAGAGTCGGATGATCCAGTATAACCCGTCTCGCTTAAACTTACGTCTACCTTGTCATCGCTTACATTGGTTTTGGAAATATGGGGTTTACCAGAATCCGATTGGACCCAATCACGCATTCTACCAATCAGATCAACTCCAGTTTTATGTGAAGTATCACCATGAGACTTGAAAAAAGTAGATGTGCGTTTGGAATTCCCAGATAGTAGATCCAGTCCAATTGATAGCCCTCCAAGTCCTGATTTTTTCTGTGCATGTCTCTCAACACCTATATACCATGCCATGTTTATCAAATACTTGGTTTATACATCATTCACGGTAGATTGAACGAATCGTATATATGCACCACATCAATGCATGCATCAACCAACATCATAAACATGCATTGAGATTTCGTTCAATGAGTGCATCCCATTCACATACCTTCAGTTTCTGCAACACTGACTAATTTCATGTTGGAATCTATCACCATTTAATATGACAAAAAAAATGTTGGTCATAGCATATAGATAGTTAAAATTAAAGGCTGGTAAACAAATGATGACTATGCAATTAAAATACCCAGCAACCGAATCTCAGTACACCAAATAGTTAAAACAAAAGGGGTGCGACGATTTCACTCCAACCAAAACAAACAGTTGTATCGTTTAAAACAACCCACCAACCCACCTGTAACCATCGCCTGCAATCGCTCAATTTCCTCATGTAGTTGTACCAGCATCTTTGAATGCTCTTTTTGCATGTACTCAATATTTCTTTCCAATGACTGGATACGACTGGTTTGCTTGGCATACACGCCATCTAGTTTTTTAGATACAAAAGATGCTTGACTAGTGTCATGTTCTGTTTGAAGCAATATATCATGGCTGACAACTGACGGCATAGTGTAAGTTGGGGGGATGCTGATGGATCTTTGTGGCATGGGTTGCGGGGGCGTGGTTCGCGGTGGATGGGCAGAGATAAGAATATGTGGACTGACGCTCAGCTCTGTACTTGCATCATTTGATTGGAGAGCATGGAGGTTGGCAATATGGTGGCTAGAGCTACTTACCAAGACCGTCATTGCAAATCTTGATGGTGTATTTTTGTCGGTTTAAATGAATTTAAAAAACTATTTTGTACAAAGTTGCCTATATTGTATTTCTCTTTGATTCAATGTGTGGATATATCAAAAAAGCCAATATATTTTATTCAAAAGTTTAATTGCTGGTGTATGAATAAGCGTGTATCTACCACTTTTGTGTGTATGTTTGAATTGGAAATTTTTCTCAACCCAATGATAGTTCAATTTATAGCCGTATTCACGTAAATGCATGGAATAAATGATTATCAAACGATGTTGGCTACAACAAAAATAAATCTTGAAAGTGCCTGAACATTGTAAACTGATACACCAAGGCAGTATAAGTTGGCCAAATTCATAAAACCATCATTGTCGTGCTAAGGTCTGCCAAGACCAACAACAACATGGTGGACCTTGTCCATAATAATCCCATCAATTCCATATGCAGACTGGATCTTGCACTGATCCACCGAGTTGTTTTTTGATCCGTATGTAAACAAAACCAATCCAGTTCGACGCACCGTGGAAATAATACGTGGAGCAAGCAAAAGAGGAGAGACCTCCGTCACAATTCCAACACAACCGCATCTTTTAGCAAAAAGTATAGCATTCCATAGTGAATTGAGACGTTTGTCACACATTTTCTCCATGCCGCCTACTGTCAGGAAAAAAACGGGATACTTGGTCTGCTTCTTACATAGTAGCAAACAGATTTCTGGATGAAAGCTTGAAAAGTAAATGTTTCGAGATGAGTCAGCATAGGCAAACACAGTCCGCAAAATCTGGTCGCAGAATAAGTTAATGTCGGGATGGTTTAGATCAAAAAGCTCAGACTCCTCAATGGTTGGATACTTGACTTCAATATTGAATCCAATGGATTGTGGTGTTTCCTAATAATTGTTTTAAAAGATTGATAACATTTACTCAGTAATCCGCCTTGCTTGTGCCATGGTTTTGAATATTAAAATACTCGATAAGATACCCGTATAGCATAAACACATCGGTTACCTTGAATGCTGCATCAAGAGTGGGGAATGGACTTTGAATGGATCCATATGAATTAGGATACATTCGACCTAGTGGTGGTGTAAGAGGGTAGTAGACTGGCATATGACTATCATCCAGGCTAACAGATCTCTTGTGTTGTTTTGATACAATTGAATGCATTTTCAAAAACTTTTCAAGCGTCAAAGCATTCAATGGAGCATCAATACCTCCCTCAGTAGTAATAACTAAGTTAGATAGGCATAAAGTATCGATCATAGATTAGCAATACTTGCATAACCAGATGATCAATACATAAAAGTAACTTACAGTTGTGGTAGATGACGGGCACATTGTCCTTGGTAAGTTGAACATCTGTGTTGATAGCAATGCAAGTTTATAAGGAGTGTCTCGGTTTGTTTTAAAAGCTCAAGCACATTAAAAATTAGTGATGCACTTACCAAACTCGACATACTCGGCACCAAATTCACCAGCCTTGACCATAGAAAGAATCGTGTTTTCGCCACATTGAAGGAAAAACTTGCCATCAGCAGGAACAAAGTTCTTTCCAAGACCACGATGTCCAACAATTTTGGTACCAAAAGAACTCCATTGTCTGTTGGCTGATATTGAAACATCGCAAGCATCTTCAAAGTCGGCTGGATAGTCCAAAACAGCTGGTGTAGCCAAAACAATATCCATTTGGAGAACACCAATGTTTCGAATGCAATCGCTACTGCCAATAGATCGGCTCAACAAAGGAAGGGCAAGATGACCACACGTCACAGTTTTCTCAAGCCACATGGGAATCTTTGGTGCCATCAAACAAGTCTGGGCTTCTGCTATAAGCTTGCCTTGCTTGGTGCACTCTTTTGATACAGACAAGTCCATCATCTCAAAATGTACCACTACATCTTTTACATCTGCCACTCGAAACTCAATTGGAAACAAAAGTGACGATTTTGTAGGAAGAGGAATCACAATAAAAGGTGGTGACACTGTCAAAGAACTTTGCAGCCATATTTTCAAAATAGGCATTGCATTTGAAGACATGACATTTGCATCGCGTATATCGACAGGAACACATTCAACTCTCTCATCTAAAGTTCCAAAATAAATCTGAACCAAACTTTCAGCATTCAAGGCGTCGCTACCATATGGCACTACCATAGCACGATCGGACTCGGGAAATTTCACGTCAGGCTCATTTGGATACGCCGAGATGTGGCAATCAAAAAGATTGGCAACTTTTATTTCTCCACGGAGAATAGCATGTTCGTGAGCAGAAAGACCGCTACGATCTTGAACCCCGACGTCGATTTTATTTGAATCCAATAGCAACTTGACTATTTCAACATGTCCATCAATCGATGCACATATCAGCGGTGACTGTCCAGCAGCATTACAGCCCTTCCAATCAATAGTTGTTTTTAGAAACATGACTACCAAATCAGGTTGTCCCAAACGTACAACAAAGTGTGCTAAAGTCTAAAGTTAAACAACAAAAAGGTTTAAATTGTCAACTCTACCATTACAGCCAAAAACAATTGTAAAATACTCACGTCTCCCAATGAGTCTGTTTGCTCTAAAGCAGGTCCAAAATCAAGTAATGCTTCAACACATGGCATGTTTTTAACAATGCAAGATATACGCAAAGCAGATATAAAAGATGCGTGCAAGTGGTTTTTTGTAAAAGCAAGTAGCTCACGCACAACAGTGTGATGTCCATGCGTAGCAGCAAGAGCCAACGGAGTAAGTCCAAAAATATCCACGGCATTGATCGAATCCAGTGATTTGTCAAGTTTCAGGAGATACTGTACACATTTTAAATTTCCCTTAATTGCTGCATAGTGCAAAGGGATACGATCAAATGCATCTTTTGTAATATTCTTGGCATTTAAAAACAATGGATCTTTCTTGCATGTTTCAATAATTTCTTCAAAACATCGTATGCTAAAACTGGAAGAGATCCCTCGCGCCAAGTAGTGGAGTATGTTTCCCCTAAATTCATCGCCATACAGTATAGTTTCAAGAGAATGTCCAGACTGGAAAAAAGCTCTTGTACATTTGGGACTATTTCGAACAGCCGATATCAATACTCTTTGGTTTGGAAGCTCAATCTATACTCAAATTGTAGAAAACAAGTGAGTTTTGTGAACAACAGTATTGTTTGAATTTCATCAGTAAATCAAGACATCACACAACATACCTTGTTAATAATTTCAAGTGCTTTTAAAAAGTGCACGTCGTTATCCTCATCAATGGAAGTGATCAGACTTGTTGCATCAGAACAACTGGATATATCCAACTCATCAAGCAACTTTTTTTCAATCTCCAAGGCACTTTTCAGATGATTCTCGAGAATATTGCAGGATAAAAAGGGAAATTTCGCTTCAAACACACTCCACTCTGGCAAGGTTGGTGTGGTTTTTCGAGGAAGAAGGTGTACAAAACTAAATATAATAATCGAGGTTACACAGTAGTATATACCACTATGTTTGAGTAATTTTTCTATACGATAAAATAAAGTTTGCAGTGCATGACATACTCATTAAACAAGCTGCGAGCAATTGCGATATTAAAGTTGATGAATCGAAAAATAGATGCAATAATATCCTTGTATAGCCATTCTTTGGAAAATGCCATTATAATTGAATACGATACCATATCTGGCTTCTCCAACAGAGTTTTAAAATCGGTCTTGACTATTCAAACAAAACAAGTCATTACATGATAGTATGAAAAGTAGTCCAGCCTTGACAAAAGCCAGATTCCATCAACTGCACAAAAGCTTAAGCTCGTACCATTTTCAAGGATGATCGAAACAGCATGCTCAATCTTATCGAGAAACACTTGGGTCCTAGTCAATTCACCCTCCAGCGCCAACTGAAAGTCTATATTCACCATTAATCAGCACTCAATATTGCACACTGACTCAAAACACAATGATGGCTAGAGACTAAATCAATTACCATGAGCAGCAGTGTCTGGACTAACTGGATAGTGAGTATGTTGAGCACATAGTCCTAGAATAGCACCATCGACCGCATTGGGCCGAATGTTGAACCTAATTGCATCATCACAATTCTAATCAGATTGACCAGATTATACAAGACCAATAAGCAACACTGGCTATTAAAACCAGTGACATTGAGCAACACATACTCTGCCCATATAGGCTCTAAATCATTCTTCAGTAACTCTCCAACCAGCGGCATATAAAGCAATCTGATTTGGCTGTGGGGTTGATTGGCAAGTCAGGATTCGACTGTTGTCGAGACTGCGGTTTTGGTAACTGGCAAAAAACAGCTTATATGTAAGAGTATAACAAGTATACGATCTAGTTTCATTTACGGGTTATCGCGGAGTTGTTTTTGATGTAATCTACACTCGACTCGAACTTGCAAATATCCAGCAATCAACTGATTGTATTGGCCAGTTGACCATGTAAAAATGCTACTAAATCATGCTAGAGCAGCTAGGTCCAAACTGATGAGAATAGCAAGCATGTTTCAAACCATCTCTACGAAAAGCAGCTGCTGGTGTGCATTGCTTGCAAATCTGCTGTCGAGTATACCAAGCATGATTGCAAGTAGGAACATTGCTCAAAAGGATTTGCCACATGAACCCAAAAGGTCTGGTGATTTCGTTACACTGGAACATCTCATGGATATTTGATCATTCAGGCGCCTTACAAGACTATATGTTACAATACTAGTGTGCCACGAATGTTTAAACTTTGTGGATTAAGCAATATATAAACATACAATTTCATACATTCTTTTGTCTACTCAGCCTACGTGAAATACCCTGCTTGCCCCAACCCACCAAGCAATCAAGAGGTTTAATTACAGCAATCTCCGTCTTTTGAACTCTTAAATCGCACTAGCAATGCGTATCTCCACTCTGATTCTGGCGATGGCCATTGGAGCACGTACTGCCGACCTTGCCTACGCAGCACCAATTGGCTTGTCACGATACTCCTCGCGGCGTCAACAGGAATCCATAACCATTATCAAAGCCGACGTACTCGATCAAATCCTTTCGATACTTTGGTGGATTTAATCAGCTAGCTCGTTACTGATAATCAGAGGCAAATACTTACTTTTAATCTCTCCTTGTCAACAGCCCTGGATATTACAAGCCTCTATTATACCACTCAGTGCTGCTGCATAAAAATAAAGGTTTCGAGATAGCTTAATTTGAAAGTTTGGTTTTATTTTTTTGACAGTTTGAATACTAGTCTGCTGTAAATAGTTTGGTTTATATAAAAATACAAACACCGAGTGGGTTCAGGCCCATGCGCATCAAATGTCTTTATAAATAGCCCACTAATGTATTAAAGTAAACTGATTTTTATTTCAAATTACAGCAACACTGGCAGGAATAGTTCAAAACATGTTCCAATGTTTTTAATAATATCAAGGCTCAAATAAATCCAAATAGTGGCATTTAGTAACAAAAAGTTATGTAGGAAAGGGAAACATATGAATGGCATAGAGTCGAAAGGCAATAAACCAGAAAAGAAGAGTATATGGGCTCAACGTAAAAGGTAAAGTCTGCTCAACCAAGTACAAATTATTGTGGAGGGGTAAACATAGTATCAGATCCAAATCCATTTAGAGTAGATGCCTTGGGCATTTGAACCGCTGAATCAGAAACCTCTTGGCCAGGAGCACGGAATCCACGGCAAAACCAGTCATGAACTAGCAGTGGTTTGTAGAAATATTGTATACAAGCAAAATAATTAGAATGATTTAAAAGACCAAACCTTGATTGGCTAAAGCAAAGCATCAGGCATTACCTTCGACCACTCTGCGAATATGAGCAGAGAAATCAACGTCACGCTTCATTATTAGCAAGCCAGACTTGTCAATCATCTGTGTAGACATGGACTGATAGCGATTCTTGGCATCGTGAAATCGCTGGCGGGTGCTGTTAAGCTCCTTCTCAGCCGAGGTTGACTCACCAAGTGAAAAAGTTCCTGGAGCCTTTGCAAATGCCTTGAGCTTCTTTTCTTCAAGCTGACCAAGGCGTGAGCCATAACTGTCCAGCTCAAGTCGAGTCAATTGCTGTTTTTTCATTGTCTCCAGTGCATCGCCAATGGCCTTTTCTTTAAAAGTACGTAAAAATTCCAAGTATTGCTCATACGACTGAAGAACAGGTGCGCGCTCGTCTACAGCAGCCTTGTATGAAAGTGAGAGCTGCATCATGGGCTTTCTAATGGATTCAAACGATTCTTGAAAGCTAAAATTACAAAGTAATAGTTGGTGCCTAGCTCATCCAAAACACTTGCCAAATCAATCTATTAATAAAAGTTCATCTCTTACCATTGCTGTTGATAAAACAAATACATTTCAACGTCTATATCATTAACTTTTTGGAGAGCAATCATTTGACGCTCGACCATCTTTTCAAGTCGTGCAAAGAAATCATACATATCCTGGACTTGCTTTACAGCTTCATCAACTTCTGGTTGAGAGGTGATATGAGCCCACTATTAATATGACAGTATAGTGATATAGTTGCAATATCGAATTAGCATTGTACTAGAAATCAAGCACTTTCAAGATCGAGTTTAAATTTACCTGAGAGCCCAACCGTTCCTTGACACGCTGCTGGAATACACTATTTGTATGCAGTAACAATCTAAAAGTTAGTCATGACTTGGTAATGGAATAAGCTCTCAAAAACATCAAGGTTGACTTCAGAGACGCACGCACCGATAGTTGCGATCAAGCGCCTCTGGAGCACCTAAAGCAAGTTTCTGCACTTGCCTCGTGAAGAACTCTGAGATCATGTACTGAATGAAAATCCCATATATTCGTCACCAGCAAGAGCAATAGGTTTGCCCCAGAGACCACAAGAAATGTTATATAGACGTTGGTATCCGCACAGACGAACATGGTAATCCAGTATGAGTATCCGGAAATAGATAGCCATACAAAAATGGTTTCCAACAGCATTGATAATCACAAGTAATATTTAAAGGATGTATTAGTAACATGCAGATAAAGTATCAAATACCGCGTTATGATCAATTGGAGATGAAAGTATGAAACAAGCAAAACAATAAGAGCTCGTCTGAAAGTGAGTCAATAGTCAAAGACTGATAAGTGATATGGATGAGTAGGATATGCAAACGCAAGCTCAGTAGCAATAAAATTAGGGGTTGAGTAGACATCCCGTACTCAACACTACAAAAAGAATGCAAATTAGCTTACATCCAAGCGCTGGTTAAACTGCTTCGACTTTGAGTTGTCTAAAAGAGGATTGTACCTCTCTGGCTCTGGAGGGGTCGGAGTAGTGATGGGGAGAGATGGACGAGCACCCATGTCGACATGTGGTGCAGTAGGGATTGGAGCAGTGCAAGCAGGAGATGCGGTTGCAAATGTAGGCAAGCTGGATCCTTTTGGAGAGGGAGTGCAGGTATCGGTGAGCCCAGTAGCCTGCACAAGCTGAAAGCCCTGTACAGAATCATGGGAAGATGTAGGTCTACTCTGCTGTTCATTGTCTGCTGTAGCAATGCTACCAGAATGGTCGATAGGATCAGAAGTAGCAGGCAGTGTGGTGGCAGGAAAGGCACCGGAAGATGCAGTATCTGGCATTGCCTGACTGGCTTCAGCAGCATTCAAAGCACGCTCATTGTTAAGCTGAGGATTATCTACAAGAGTGTGGTCATGGTAGCGTTCACCAAGAGGAATTTCGTCATCTTCGTGTATATCATCAGCAGATCGTGCTGGGTCGGAAGGAAGCAAAGCGGTGTCAAAGGAGTTGGATAAAGCAGAATCTGCAGATACGTCATTGGAAGCAGCAACCATGGATGATGAGTGAGTAGGTGATGTAACAGCATGCTCAGCATCGGCATTTCCAGCATTCACCGACGGAGCGAGTTCATGATCCTGTTCACCATTGGTATTTGCCAACGACTCTTGACTAGCAGAATTGTGCTGGTTCTTGAGACCAGAAACGTTGTCTATAACAGTATCAGCAGTTTTATGAGTAGTACTTTCTTGCATATTAGGAACACTCCCCAGCATTAATATTAGTTTAAAAGAGTAACAGAATCAATGAACTATTAATAGAACACCAACAACCAAAACGCAAGTTTTTGAAATTGAAAGAAATTTTGTCGAGTTTTAAATTGCACTTGTTTCAGATGAACTTCAATGCAGATATTACGACTGGTTTACCCTTGATTTCTATAAAAAAATATCTGATTAAACACTGCAATCAGCTGCTTTTAGTTGAAAACCCGAGTGCCACATGTTTCTTGAGTAGATGGTCTGATAGATTTACCAACTGTCTGATGCGTACAATCATAGCAAGCCAGACTGCGATGGTTTAAATCCGATGGCTACCAAAATCCTGCTCGATAATTTGTATATTGTCAGTCAGAATCAATGTTTGAAACAATCCAGAATGCTGCGCGGACAAGCAAATATCACAATGACGAGTAACAATATCGAATCCATTGTTGGCCAACAAGTTTATGCACCAAAAGACAAACTAGCAATTTCATGTTGCGAATTCAACTTACTAAAACTCTAATAAAATGCAGCAACTTGTAACTGGGGGCACTAACAGTACTAGCAGCAATATTACACACATTCCATACATTGTCCCAGTTAACAATCATACTATTGCATCAAATCCCTTTCTCCTTGCTTTATGGAATAGGTCGGTTTTCATTATGGATCTGATATACTCGATGTGTTTTTACCCCGACTGCCGTTAGACTTGCACTAGTTATAAACTAGTGCATGAATAATCTTACTAAAAACATTGCTTGGTACTAATATTCTATAAACTATAATATAGCCATCAGTCTATTTACGAATCCATTCTTGCTCAAGATTGGATTGTGCTTTTGCCTGTAAGTTTGCTGGCTTGACATTTCAAACATTACATTTGGGCTGTTTATCTGGCTGCTGGAGTTTGATCGTCTAACTTTGGCTATACCACAATATGTTCTACTGTTTGATTCAATAGCCACCAGAATTATTCGCAGCTACCACTGAGCTATCATTTTCTAAAGACTTCATATGTAAGATTCATCATTGGTTTGTTTTTGCAGTATTGCAGTTTAAAAAGCGTCTTGTCAAGTGAGTGTTTCAAAAACAATAGTAGATCTCACGCCACTATTTACAGCCATATTCACGTAAATGGAATACTTGTATCTATCTTGCAATGATTGCTTCTTGCTTTGAGCAATGGTTGGATATTCGTTGTTTCCCTACTACAAATTGACTTTACTAGACATTCTCAATTTTTTAAACACAACATCCATCGTATGATGCACACAGTCAAACTATCCATTTTCTACTTTTTACACAGCCGTGCATTGCATAATCATCAAGTCTGAGACCAAACTCACTCATTACAGTTCAGATATTGGACTCGATTGTCTCGAGTCTGTACAAATTCCAACTGCTTTATACAGAAATAAGCACAAGATTGGTGAATTTTGTCAAGGAATTCAGAGGGTACAATGTGTCTAGTAAACCTCATCAAATTATTATTTCATGAGATTGAAATCCTTACTTTGCGTGAATACGGCTGTAAAAGTGTCCATCAATATAAAAGATCTGTATACTTGGATATTCATTAGAAACCCATGACCAAGAGCATTATTTCAAACATGCAGATGCATTCGTTATTTTTATGATGTATATTAACAATAATACACATATTTAGCAACACACATTATCAAAAAGGCCATTTCAGATTTGGTTCATGTAACTCTAAATGATAAACATATCATTCTAGACGAGACAAGCATTATTACCGAAGAGGGCTTTCCATTCGAAACTTCAGTTGAAATCATTCATGATAGCCGACATGTAAACTCTGCTGGCCGATCCTTTACTATTTTTCATATCGATAAGCCATTGATACCATTAGATTCCAGCGCCAGTCCAGTTTCAGATTCAAGTGTATCCAACTTTGTTTTAGATGACAAGAGCCTTATCCTTTTACTCAGATCTATACCTTCCGGTGATCGTACAATCGATTTTATGATGGAGCGTATCACCCTTTTTAATGATATTGCAATATTGATGGAAACAGTTGAAACCATTCAAGAAGATATTCAAAAACTGTTAAATGACTGCTTCAATATACTCAGCTCTCACGGAGAACAGGCTTTGCTACCCCTGTTGAATCAAAAGAATATTTCTTGGGATATGCTTTTTCAGTTGGTCGAAACATTTGTGATGGAACACACGTATGAGATTGTTTTTTACAAAATCACGGCGTCGTATCGTGCACGCGATCTAGCCATTATGGATATTGTTTCTCAGTGCCAGCATCTTGATTTGTGCCAGATGGGTCTTCCACCTCAATTTGGACCAAGTTTACTTGAAGCGTCCAAAGTAAGTTTTGCAACTTTTAATATTGTTTGAATCTGGTGGCATGTTTAATTGTGCGTTGCTTTACTGCGTCTATCAACAGTGTTGTTTTTTGAAGCTGTATCCTTATTTAATGATTTACGAGACTCATTTTGTTGAATATTTGACTGCGTACAGATTTTTCAAGAAGTAGCAGTGCTACGAACACCTCATGAAAAAATCAAATGCCTTTCTCATAGCATTCAGGCTCTCAGCCAAACTTCATCAACCAACACTAACTCGTCAAATGCTTCGACGCTTGTTTTGACAAGTGACTATCTTGTTCCACTGCTAATTCTTATTATTATTCGCAGCAACCCTCTTAACATGCACTCAAACTTTGTTTACATGAAATCGTTTAGTTTCGAGTTTGATGTTGATTCTGGCGAATACGGATACATTCTTTCATCTTTAGAAGCAGTACTTCAATACATTGAGAATAGTCATGATCATATGGTGGATCAATCAAATCGATGCATTAAATTTTTAAATGCCGCGCGTGCAAGTGATCTTGATACTTTAAAGCACTATCTTGAAAGCGCATCTCCTGATTCGGATGATGTTATTCCTACAGGTCGTGGATCTCAGCACAGCGTTACAGCAACTCCACGTCGGATTATCGACTGTCGAGATTGGGAGGGAAAAAATGCTTTGGTTACTGCATGTAGATACTCACAGACTGCTGCCATCAAAATCTTGCTGGAGCATGGATTGGACTCTAATCAGCCAGATTATATTGGAAATACTCCTTTACACTATTGTGCGAAATTCAATCTTACTGAAAGTGCTCATTTATTAATATCCAAAGGTGCAGATACAACCACTCGGAACAATCTTGGGCAAACTCCGTTATTTTTAGCTGTGGCAGCATCAAGCGATGATATGATTGATTTGCTAGCATTTCCAAAAAAAGTTTTGAATATCCCCACTAGTTCTGGAGATACCGTGCTTCATTGTGCTTTGACTGCTCAAATGGTTGCAAAGCTGATGGACCTTGGTGCCAATCCGAACATAAAAAATAACAACGGACTAACACCGATTCTTTTTCACTGCCACATTGGTCAGTCCAATATCGCACAAGTATTCATTGAAAAGGCAAAAGTTCCTGGTATTACAGTGGATTTGACATGCCATGATTTACATCGTCGAAATATTATACATATATGCGCTTTGCGTGGATCACTGGGAATTGTTCAACTCATTTTATCTCTATCCAAAAACGTATCCCCTGAAACCAACATAGCTGCAGAGCAAGTTGAGACCGTTCCAGCTCAAAAGCGCTGTTTTGCTATCGACTTGAACTTTCAAACACTTCGTGGCAATACTCCGCTGCATCTTGCCTGCTTATCAGGAGAATTGGAAATTGTATCCGAGTTGCTGCACGCTGGTGCCGATCCGACGCGAAGAAACTTTACAAACAAACATGCGGCAGACTTGACTCAAAACGACGATATTCGTAGTTTAATTGAGGGTAAATGATTGCAAATATGCTACTCATCAGTAAAACATGCGCATTTGAACTTGGGCTAATCTTTACTGAATCTTTTGAATACGTTTATATTTAGACTATTCGCTATTTTTCAAGCCACCACCGCAAGGAGAAAAGTTGGTTGCCAAGGTTGTGCGTGCACAGCTTATAGATTCGGGCATTCTTTTTTTTATCAAATCAGGTCAATATCAAGACTTTAACACCATTCAAACCGTTGTTCGGACATTGAGTGATTTCGGACTCATCCGAAGTCAGCTGCTTGTTGAGCATCCAGAGATAGGCGTTCCTGATATGCGTGAGCTATTTAGCAACCCGGCATGGGTCTATGAGAATGTAAAATCAGGCCCAAGTTCTCGGTTTCTCAAAAAAATTGTTCGACGACTGGACAAATTTTTAACTTATCTGATTCGCCATAATGTGTTTTCTCACCATGAACTGACGACGGAATTTTTGGTTGTAGCAGAGTTGGAACCAGATATGATGTATGCACGGAGTCACTCCAAGTTGGACTATATAGGCGATTCAGTAAGATCTTGCTACTACCCTTATGTGGAGGATTTAGTTCAAAAATCAATCAAATTTGAAGAGGAAGGCTCAAGGTTGATGGCATTGCATTCACTGGTGCGGGAGGTAGGGATCAAAGTCCGTAATGTAGGAAAAGCGCGAAAAGGTATTGCTTGATTGAACATAGTTTGTGATTATATTTGCTTTAAATATAGACAACTCACGTATGTGTGACACCTTGCTTATATGTTTATTAACGGTATCACGCAGTTCTTGGATTTCAATTACGAGTTTTACGCCATCATTTGTCTGAGCCTGGAGTCACATTTTTTAAAGATAAACTTTACATTACAGAAACGTTTTGCAAGTCGGCAAAATTAATATTGGATCAAGTAGGGCTTTTGTTTTATCATCTGTATAAATGTTATATACTGCTTTGAAACTATCTACTGCTAACTATCTCTTGCATGATTTCAATATCCTACATTCATATGGGTTACAGAGCACCGCAGAGATTCAAGAAACAGGAGATTTTTTCCTGGAATGTGTTTATGAACTTTCTGGATCACGGCAAGGCCTACTACACTATCATCATATTTCCGAGGAATATGTTGAGTTGGTTCAGCAATTAGACACCATCCACACAACCATGGAGCGC